CAACTACAATTGGATCAGATAATGGGCCAGTCTTTGTCTCTCAGGTAAGCCAGGGAATAGCCACTGCACTGGGGGCCAATTGGAAACTACATTGTGCTTATAGACCCCAGAGTTCAGGACAGGTAGAAAGAATGAATAGAACTCTAAAAGAGACCTTAACCAAATTAGCTTTAGAGACTGGCACAGACTAGGTGGCTCTCCTCCCCTTTGCCCTTTTTAGAGTAAGAAACACTCCATACCAGATGGGTTTGACCCCCTTTGAAATCATGTATGAAAACCCCCCTCCTATGATAGTAGCCTCCAAGCTATCCTAGTATCGACCTTGGGAGACCAGGACCTACTGGTCTCACTCCAATGGTTGCAGCTAACCCACCAACGGGTCTGGCTGCAACTCAGAGCCATATATGAAGGTGCTGTCCCCTCGCAACCCCACAGGTTTAAACTGGGTGACTGGGTCTTCATCCGCAGACACCAACGGAAAAATCTTGAGCCAAGATGGAAGGGCCCCTTCATGATCCTCTTGACGTCTCCCACTGCACTCAAAGTGGATGGCATCATGGCTTGGGTGCACTACTCCCATGCAAAACCTGCTGACCCATTTGCAGTCCCAGAGGATTACAAGGGAGACACCTGGAAGGCATCCCCACACCCTTCGAATCCATCCAAGCTCTGCATCCGGATGAGACCCTTCCTGCTAACCTGTCTGTTGTTGACATTGAACTGCTTATTGGCTGATGGCACCTTTCCTGAAAGTAACATGAATCCCCATATGCCCCTTAGCATGAGCCCCCAGATACCTGTGAGCTGGCCGACCAGAGCCCATGATTGGGTTCCCCTGTTACAAGACAAGGGGGAATGTAGAACCCTGAGACCCTCTTCATTCACCCCCCAATCCCTCCAGACCCCCACTAATTGCTCTTTCAGTTTCTGTAAAATGCTTGGCTGCTGCTTTAGATATGCCTAGACATACCCTGGCATGCCCTGACCCCCGCCTGCTATTCCCCACTCCCCTTCCAGGAAACTATAGATTAAGCAAGCCCAAGCATAAAAACTGCCCTATAAGGTAAAAACGGAGACTCCTGGCCCCACAGATAACAGTCAGCACATTCCACAGCCCTGAGAATAGCACCTACCAATAAGTTTAAAATTATGTTGGCGCACGCGGGCTCCTTGAACAACCAAAATGTATCTTTGGTATCCCCACCTTCCTTTGTCTAAAACCTATAAAAGGCTCCACTCTCCCTTACTCTGGGCTCTCAGCACGGATCCGTTGAGTTGGTGAGGTCTGAGAGCCCGAGCTTAAGCCCTAATAAACCATAAACCTTTGCTTTTGCATTTTGGCATGTTGGGTCCTCGGTGGTCTTTTTGGGGTCCAGTGGATGAGGTACAACAGGAGAATCCCAGAGGGCCTTTCCCTACATCTGGTGGCCACAGTACTGCATGGCTGGGATTAAAGGCATGCACCACCACACCCGGCTCCATTTACTATCCTTAATAACAACTACTGGAATCCTTTTTCCAAAGAAGGTAACATTCATGGATTGCAGAGATCAGGGCAGGGATCTCTTTCCTGAGATGTTAACCATCCAACTGCAGAAAACTTGTCCAAGTGTTTACTGAACACCTACTATGTTCTAGTGCTCAGAGTGACTGAAGAGTCCTGAGCTCAAGTGATTTTCCTACCTCATTCTCCTGAGCAGCTGGGAGTGCAGGATCATGACAACCCCATGCTTTCTCTTATAAGGACTCTTGTAATTACATAGGGCCCAGAAGAATCCAGAATAATCTTTCATATCTGCCTCCTGAGTCCTGGAAACAAAGGCCTGTCCTACCATGTCTGGACATTTAAAAAAAATTTTTATTCTTTATTCATTTGTGTGTCTGTGCGCACCTGCAGGTATATGTGTCTTGTGAGTGTACATGCACGTGTGCCTGGGTGCCCACAGAGGCCAGAAGAGGGTGCCAGTTCACCTTGGAGCTGGAGTTACAGCCATTGGGTGCTGGGATCCCAACTCTAGTTATGATTGAGCAGCAAGTGCTTTTAACCACTGAGCCATCTCTCCAACCCTGTGAGCATTAAAAAAATATTAAAATTTATTTATACATGAGTGTTTTGCCTGCATGTATGTAAGTGTACACGTGCAGTGATCATGGAGGTTGGATCACCTGGAGCTTGAGTTACAGATGGTTGTTAGCCCCCAGTGTGTGCTGGGAACTAAACCTGGGTCCTTTACAAGAGCACCCATCTCTCTAGTTCCTCCCCTCTTATCCCTCAAAACCTGGTAATTTTTTTTTTTATGTGTATGCCTGTATTGCCTGCATGTATGTAAGTGCACCCATGTCGTGCAATGCCCGAGGAGGTCAGAAGAGGCTGTTGGATCCCCTGGGACTGGAGTATAGCTAGCTGCCATGTGGGTGCTGGGATTTGAACCAGGGTCTTCTGCAAGAAGCATTCCCAACTGCTGAGCCATCTCTCCAGCCCCCAAACCTGATAATTTTTGTAGACTCTTTACTGGGTCAAGTAGAATATTCACAGATATAGAGGAGTGGGATGTGGACATCTTTGAGGCAGGGTGTCTGTATTCTGTCTGCCCCAAAGAAGAGACTCGGGTGAGGGGATGCAGTTTGAGAGATGAGAGAGAGAGAGAGAGAGAGAGAGAGAGAGAGAGAGAGAGAGAGAGAGAGAAAGGGGGGGGGGGGGGGTATGGTCCAGGAGAAACTGATTGAAGAGACATCAGCAGAGCGCGGGATGGAAGGGTGTGGATATTGGTAGGGGGGTATGGTCCAGGAGAAACTGATTGAAGTGACATCAGCCCAGAGCAGGATGGAATGCTGTGGATATTAGGAAAAGGCTGTGGAAGCAGGAAGGGCCAGGGCAAAGGTGGGGTGTGGGTGTGGGTATGGGTGGTGTCTCTCTTCCTGCCTTCTTGCCCTCCCTTCTTGCTTGGGCAGAGGATTTGAGAAGTCCACACTTGATCTTAACCAAAAGGCCCAGAAGTGATTGGGGTTGGAGGATTCTAATCATCACTGGTCCCCTGCAGTCCCTGTTGCCCATGGCTCCTCAAAGGGCAGCTCAGCCTGTAGGGAGAGGTGGAAGGCTGGGTCAGAGAGGCAACAGGTCCCGCCCTCCCTTCAATCTGCAAGAGGATTGGTGCTCACCTGGGTCCTGGACTGGTCCTGCTGGTGCAGTGTGCGCCTTCGGTGCCACTGGCGCAGGGAGTCTCGGGCCTCAGAGCTGAGCCCCTGGGGCGCACGACCTGCGTCGGGCTGGTAGTGGGCAATGTGGTACAGTGCTCCAAACCACGTGGTCAGATAATATCCAGCTTGGGGCGGGAGGGAGGAGAGATGAGGACAATGCTCTGGGCTTCCCTGAATGCAATCATTCCCCCCTGAGGCATGAGGTGGCTGGGGCTCCCTGTTAGTGTCTCGGCTTCCTGGAAGTAGGGGTTCACCTTCTCCCTGTAGCTCCTCCGGATCCAAGAGCTCCATAAGAAACTCCACGTCCAGCTGTGTCTCCCCAATGTGTGGACTCCAGATCAGCTCCTCAGTCAGGGCCGGCAGGAAGGCGTCGGCCCCCAGGGGCTCTGGGAAAGCCCAGGGACAGGTGAGCTTGGCAGGGGTGTGCACCTGGGATCTTCCATGAGATCCCAGACCTGAGTGGACACCTGTCACCAAAGCATGCCACCCTTCCCCTGGATGTATGTGCATACACTCCAGCAACCAGCCCTTAAGTCACTCCACGCCCACAGGTGCCACTTCACACCCAGACAGATGCCCACAGGCCCCTTACCTTCATTCTCCCCGCCGGCCAGACTCGCGTAGACGTCACCACACACGGCCAGCAGCAGTGCCACCTTGCGGCGCGGGGAGCACGCGGCGTGCAGGTACTCCAGGCGCGCGTGGATGCGACTCCGCAGGACGGGGGCGGGGCTCTGCCCCTCCGACCCCGCCCCCTGTGCTCCGGGAGGCCCCGACCCCGCCCTCAGCGCTATTTGTCTCCGCCGCAGCCGCCGCAGTTCCTGCGCTCGGAGTGTTCGAAGCTTCGTCCACAGGGCGGGCTTCAGGGGCGCCAGCACCGCCCGGCACACGGCCGCCTCCACCGCGGGCCCTGCAGGACGTGGGGCTGGTGAGAACAAGGCCACCCACAAGTACAGACAGGGGGTGGGGGAGTCCAGCCGGCAATGCACGCGTTAGAACAGTTCTGTGTGCAGTAAAGAGTGTGCATGCCGATGGGAAAGAAGAAATAGGATGTGAACACATGTAGGGTCAGTGATGGCACCCCAAACCCATGGGAAGTTCCCATCCAATCCCCATTACCAAGATCCTCGTCTTTCTGAGGAGCCCCAGGTCCCCTATTCCCAAAGATAGCTCTGACGTCAGGGTCTTTTGCCAAGTGATCCTGAAGGTCAGTGAGGAGATAGCGCACATCCTGAAGCAGCTCCGTGGCTGGGTCCCCAGGCCTGTGGGGACCTCCAGAATCTGAGGTGAGGCGTGCTCGAAGGCCTCGGTACTGCTTGGCTACATAGCTGCTCCTGGCCCTAGCCAGAGCCCGGACGTGAGCAGTGAGCACATCCTCAGGGCCTTCTTCCTCATCTTTGTAGTAGTCATTGTCCACTTCTTCCTCCTTCTCTTCCGCTAGACTAGACAGAGCAGGCCTAGCATGGTAAGTTTCTGATCCAGGATGGTGCGCTTCCTGTCCAAGATGGTGGACTTCGGCTCCAAGATGGTGCACTTCCGATTCAGGATGGTGCACTTCCGTGCTCAGTGGGCTTTCCACCCAGGAGACCCTGTGCGGGGCAGGCTTCCTAGGGGCTGGATGTAAAGAGCATATTGGGTCCTTTCTAACAGTGGCAGCCACTCCCTCATCCCTCAGGGGACCCAGGCCCCACCAGGCTAACCTAGTTTGTATTTCTGGTCAGTCTCTGGCTCTGTCTCTTCAGGGGTTGGCTTTGTCCCCCAGCCTCCATGTGTCTCTAGGTAGAGCTGGTTCACCACAGACAGCACCCTCTTTGAGGTGTCATATTGCCCACAGCCAGCTTGTAGAGGATCTGGGGGCCAGCACAAGGAGTAAGCTGTTCTAGGTGTGCAGGGGAAACAACAGGCTTGGTTCCCAGACTTCCTCACTCAGGGCCAGGAACTCGTTAGTCCTCCCAACTCCATTCTGATTGGACCCCAGGAATCTAGTCCCTCCCCAAAGCTTAGGTATCCAGCTTTCTCTGAGCCTTGCTGCCAGCTTTATCTTCTCTTAAACCCAGAAATCTTCTCCATCAGAGCCAATCTCTTTAGAGCAAAGAGGCCAGCCAATTGTCCTCTCCCTTGGAGAACTGTGCCTCACCTGTGTGCTTGTCTCTAGGCCCTAGAGTCAGAGAGGGCAAGAGCAGGGTCCTTGGCAAAACATCCCTGAATAGATAAAGGAGAACCACAGTGTGGATGGGGTGTCAGGGAAAGGTCCCCACTGTCACGGTAATGGGTGACTGGTACCTGCTGACTGATAGAAATGCCAGGAGATGCAGCAAGTCTGGCATGCAGAGGTTGGAGGATTCCAGGGACACACCTGGGGGAGGAGGCAAGAATGTGAATGAGGAAGAAGACGTTCAGGGTGGCCATTGGGACTCTCTCTTCATCTATTCCTGTATTCCGTCCCTCAGAGCATGGGTGTGTCCATCCCTTGGCATCCCCATCATTTCCTCTCTTGGTGTTTGCACCCCAGTTCTGACACCAAATAGTATTCATCAAAGATGCTTGTTTTTTGAAACAGGATCTCACTATATATCAGGCTGCTCTCAAACTTATAAACTTGTGATTATAGGTGTGAGTCATTGTTCCTGCCTTACTTTTATTTTATTTTATTTTATTTTATTTTTTTGAGACAAGGTCATGCTATGACAGCCCAAGCTGGCCTTGAACTTTCTGTGTATACCATGTGTATGTACCACCATGCCTAGTCACCTTGAACTTTTTTTTTTGGACAGGCTTTTCCTGTAGCCCCAGCTGGTGGTCTGTAACTTAATATATAGACCACTAGACTGGCCTCTGTCTCACAGATCCTTCTGCCTCCACCTCTGGAGTACTGGGATTAAATACTGACACCATCGTGCCTGACAAGCCTTGAACTCTTGATCTAGGTTACATTTCTTTCTTTTTTTGAAAATTAATTTTTTTTCTTTATGTGTATGAGCATTTTGCCTGCATGTATGTAGATGCACTTGTGTTGTGCAATGCCTGTGGAGGCCAGAAGAGGATGTCAGATCCCTTGGAACTGGAGCTATGGTGGTTGTTAGCCGCAATATGGGTGCTGAGAATCAAACCTGGATCCTCTGGAAGAGCAGCCACTGAGCCAGCTCTCCAGCCCCAAGACAGAGGCTTTGAGAGATCAAGACTAATTCACCCTAACTCAAGATTCAAGATTCAAGATTCAAGACTAACTCAAAGAAGACTTTCAAGCTAGAAGAAAAGCAAAGCTCTTCAGCTGGAACACACTTAGCAAGCTGGAAGAACAGCATGAATGAGCAGAGTGAACGTAAGCCAACGGTAAGGAAGTGAAAGGGAACAGGATCACCCAGCATTATGGGCCAGGATGATAGCCTAACTGTCATGGACTGTTTCATATTCTTTGTAGGGTTTGGGGCAGGGACATTTAATGTTACTGATGTGTGAAAAATACCTGTTTGCTGTGCTTTGCAAGAAAAGGGTGATAGGGAGGACAACCGAGAGAAAGCTACTGCCATGGTCCTAGCAAGAAGTGACGGCAGAGGGGCTGGAGAGCTGGCTCACCAGTTAAGAGCACCAGCTGCTCTTGCAGAGGACCTGGATTCAGTTCCCAGCACTCACATGGCAGATAACAACCATCTGTAACTCCAGTTCCAAGGCATCCGACACCCCCTCTGGCCTCCAAATACATTGCATGCATGTGGTGCACTTACATACATGCAGGCAAAACATTCATACACATAAAATAAATAAAACAAAAAAAAGAAGTGATGGAGGCTCAGACTTAGTGACAGAGGCAGATGGGATTAGGGAGATATTTGGGGATTAAAAGTGGCAGTTCTTGATTTGCTGTGTGGACTAGAAACCTAGGGCAGGTGTCTCACCTCCAGGAATCTTCTGGATCTGATAGGTGTTGACTTCTTGTGAAGGTCCTGTCTTCAGTACCAAGACCTGGCTAGGGTTATGTCCTATGACCAGGAAACTCTGGGGGGACAGGGGGAGGCAGAGGTCAGTTTGATAAGCATATATGCAGATGTCTGTTTTTGCCTGCCTGGCACCTTTCCATTTGGAGAAAACCCTGTTCCTACTCCCAGTTTCTGTGGGTGAGACTGGTGCTGCCAAGGCTCTAGGAAGTGAGGCCAGGACTTGATCTAACAAATAGGATAGGATTAGGAAGATTCGGACTGACCACTCTGGTGCAGGGGTGGACATGTCCCTAAGCTTAATCAGTAGACACCTACCATTGGATTTTGCTGAACTTCTATGTTTTGTTTTGTTTATTTGTTTTGTCTTTTGAGAGAGGGTCTCTCTGTAGCCGCAACTGGCTTGTACTCGCTATGTAGACCAGGATGGCTTGTTTGTTTTGATTATTTTTATTTTTGCATGTATGAGCATATTGCCTGCATGTATGTAAGTATACCCGTGTCATGCAGTGCCCACGGATGTCAGAAGAGGGCATCAGATCCCCTGGAACTGGAGTTACTATTAGTCACCATGTGGGTGCTGGGAATCAAATCTGGGTCCTCTGCAAGAGCAACCAGTGGTGAGCCCTCTCTCCAGCCCGTTTGTTTTAGGGGAGAGTGTGAATGCAGTTCCCCACTACCATAAATTATGCAGCTGTGTTTTGCACACTTGGGGAAATTGTAGGTCTGCACATCCAGAGTGCAATGGATGAGCCTCACCCTGGGAAAACCACCTTCTTGATCATGGTGTCTCCTCTGTCAGAGAAGTGTGTTCTTTGGTTTTTATTTTTATTTTATTATTTTATTCTATTCTATTATTTAATTTAATTTAATATGTAGCTGGATCATAGGGCACTTCTATTTTAAGTTATTTTTATTTTATTTTATTTTATGTGTACGAGTGTATTGCCTGCATGTATGTGAGCTCACCCACGTTGTGCAATGCCTCAGAGGTCAGAAGAGGGTGTCGGATCCCCTTGGAACTGGAGTCAAGCATGGTTTGTAGTCGCCATGTGGGTGCTGGGAATCTAGCCCGGGTCCTCTGCGAGAGCAGTCAGTGCTCTTAACCACTGAGCCATCTCTCTAGCCCCCCAGTTCTTTTTTAAAAAATTTATTTATTTATTTATTGTTGTTGTTGTTGTTGTTGTTGTTGTTGAGACAGGGTCTCCCTGTAGCCCCAACTGGCCTGGAACTCGCTATGTAGACCAAGCTGGCCTTGAACTCACAGAGATCCACCTGCCTCTGCCTCCTGAGTGCTGGGATTAAAGGCGTCCGCCACCATGCCCAGCATTATTTATTATTATTTTATGTGTATGAGTGCATTGCCTGCATGTATGTAAGTGCTCCCATGTCGTGCAGTGCCCACAGAGGTCAGAAGAGGGTGTCAGATCCCCTGGAACTGGAGTTATGGATGGTTGTTAGCCCGCCATGTGGGTGCTGGGAACTGAACCCAGGTCCTCTGCAAGAGCAGCTAGTGCTCTTAACCACTGAGCCATCTCTCCAGTTCCCTCTTTGTTTTCTTGTTGTTGTTACTCATTGGCTTTTTTTTCCCTTCTTTTTGTGGTGCTGAGGATTGAACCTAGAGTTTTTCCACATGGTAAATAAGCACTGTGCCCCTGATCTACATTCCCAGTTCCATTTTATTTAGTTTTTGAGACAGGGTCCCACTATGAAGCCCTGGCTGGCCTGGAACTTGCTCTGTAGCTCAGGCTTGCCTTAAACTCAGAGATCTGCCAAGCTTCTGCCTCCTGAGTGATGGGATTAAATGTGTGTGCTATCAGCAAGGTATAGCCCAGGCTGGCCTTGATCTTCCAGCCTCCACCTCTTCAGCAAATCCTATTGAGAGTGTACCATCACAACTCACAACTGGCCTTTTTCTTTTCTTTTCTTCTTTTTTTAAAAGACAGAGTCTCACTATATCACCCAGGTTACCCTCAAACTCATGAGTCTCCTACCTCTGTCTCCCAAATTCTGAGATTGTAGGTATATCTCATACATTTGGTTTGCTGGATTTCTTTGGGGAAAAGTGAGTCCCCCTCAACCCCCCATGCCCATGGCTATGCTGGGAATTAAACCAAGGGACTGTTGCTTACTGTACCAGAATGCTGCCTGCCACCTGAGCCACATCCCTGGCTCCAAACATTTGTTTTTCACACTGAGGTTTCTAAACTGGTGGAAGGTAACACAGACAGCCATCTTTACCACCACAAGGACAGTGCCCTCTTGAGGCAGCTGAAGTCTGACAAATCCTGTTGGCTGTTGCCTCCAAATCTATCCCATATTCTTTGAAGACTTGTTTTGTTTTGTTTGTTTTTGAGACAGTCTCACTATATAACCCTACCTGGCTTGGAACTTGCCATGTCAACCAGGCTGGCCTTGAATTCACAGAGATCAGCCTGCCTCTGCCTCCTGAGTGCTTGGATTAAAGGTGTGTGCTACCAAGTCTAGTTTCCCTGAAGAACTATATTTTTATTTATTTATTTATTTATTTATTCATTCATTCATTCATTCATTCATTCATTTATTTATAATGACAGGGTCTCCCTATAGCCCCAGCTAGCCTGGAACTCATTATGTAGACCAGGCTTGCTTCTGCCTCCCAGTGCTGGTATTAAAGGCGTGTACCACCATGCCAGGCTTAATTTATTTTTTTTGAGACAGGGTCTTGTGTAGCCCAGGATGGCTTTGAACTCACTATGTAACCAAAGCTGGCTTTGAACTCCTGATCCTCTGGACTTTGAATGGCTGGCTCTGTGAAATGTCTTGTTCGAGGCATCAGAATGCTGAACTATAGGAGATGAATAATGATTGACACAATCACCTGTGCTTGGTGGGGCACACCTTTAACCTAACACCCCAGAGGCTGAGGCAGGATGATTGTGGGGCTCAAGGACAACCTGGCTACATGGTGACATCAGCTCAGGCAGAAGTTCTCAGCGCTGGCTTGGTTGTACATCTCCCAGGTGAGCTTTTAAAACTTGTTTTGAGGACCTTTCGGTGTATTCTGCATCAGTTCCAAGGAACCAATGCACCTAGCATCTCTCTTCTTCCACATGGAATGCATATATCATGGACCAGGGCAGGCCCTGGGAAGGAGGAGAGAAGTCTCAGAGAACATAAAGCAGCTGGCCCTGATGTCACTGAGCTGCTAAGCTCTGGCCACCAGCTGCTTTGCTGATTTGGTTGGAAAGACAAAGGCCTCTTTGTGGAAGCCCTTATAGAACAGGTGCTTGTTACCTGCACCCCCCAAATGCCATGGAAAGCAACACCGAGAACTGGAAAGAAGAGAAATACACAAGCTGTCTTAAGCTCAGGATCCAGACTTCCCAGAAACCACCTTCACTTCTAGGTGTTTCCAACATTTGAGTCAAGATGTAGGTTTCCACTGAGTGTGGTGGCTAATGTCTGTTATCCACAGTGAGTTTGAGGCCAGCCTCTGCTACATGAGACACTTTCTCAAAAAATTAAAAATGGCTCATCAATTAAAAGCAATGGCGGCTCTTGCACCTAGGTTCAGGTCCCAGCACTCACATGGTGGCTAACATCCATCTGTGAGTCTAGTTCCAGGGGATCCGACACCCTCTTCTGGCCTCTGCTGGTACTACACATACATGGTGCACATACATACATGCAAGCAAAACACTCATACACATAAATAAAAATAAAACATATCTATAAAAAAATAAAACCAAACATGGGGACAGAGTGCTTTTCTCAGATGTGTGAAACCTTGGGTTCAGACCTCAGCCCTACATAAGTAAGGTGTGGTGGCATACACAACCATGATCTGAGCTTCCAGGTCATTCTCTGTTACATAATGAGCTGGAGGCTAGCTGGGCTACATAGTGAAAACAAATCACAAAGTTTGGATTAGCCCAGTTTGTGTTGTGTTGGTCACCTGGGTGACCCAAGATACCATAGGGAGGGTCAGAAGGGATCCCCATCTCTGAATACTCACCCCCAATGGCCATAGCGCCAGAAAGGCCTGGGCATGCTGAGCATCCAGCTCTGGAACCTGCCATACATTCTGTGTCCGATGCAGGTAATGAAGGGTCTCTGGGGTGCCTAGGACCCCTAACAGGCTCTTGCAAGCTCCATCTTCCTGTGGCAGGGCTAGCCTAGGATGTACAGTTCCAGGAGGTCAAGGGTAAGAGTGGACAGTTGGCCACTGAAGTGGGTCCCAAGGGGCAGGAAGGGACAGCCCAGGGACTGAAGGTCAAAGATGGGGCCCAGGGGCAGAGGGTGGGGCTGAACATTGGGTACATGGGACTTTGATCCCACATCAGCACAGCAGCCTCACCTCTCTTCCTCAGTGGGGACTGCAGACACCAGGTCCTCTGGCTGGGCCATCCTCGTGTTGCCAGACACCAGTGTGCATGCTCAGGCCTCTAATATGGAGGAAGATAAGACTCAAGCCTGCTTCAGTGGGGGTGGGGGTTGTAACTGTTTGAAATACATTCCCGATAAAAGCCAGGCTTGGTGGCACACACCTTTAATCCCAGCACTCAGGAGACAGAGGCAGGCAGATCTCTGTGAGTTCGAGGCCAGCCTGGTCTACATAGTGAGTTCCAGGACAGCTGGGGCTACAGGGAGACCCTGTCTCAAGACGACCAAAAAAGAAAAAAGAAGTGTATTCCAGCTGGGTGTGGTGGCTCACGGGAACTTCAGCACTGGGAAGACAAAGGCAGGCATATCTCTGTAAGTTTGGGGCCAACCTGGTGTACATAGTGGTCTACATCATCTGTGCTGATCAGAATCAACCACAGAAGTTCCCCAGCTATTCTAAGGGGCCAGCCATTCTTTTCGTGTTTTTTGAGACAAGGTCTTATTCTGGAGCCCATTCCAGAACTCACTGTGTAGTCAAGGCTCACCTTAAACTCATGGCAATCCTCCTTTTTCAGCTTTCCAAGTGCTGGGATTATAGAAGCGAGCCACTACACCTGGTTTAGGGGTAGGGTGGGGGCAATTCTTTAGTTGCTGGGCAGTAGAAAATTCTGGGGGTCCCAGGAGAAAAACCCATGTGTCTTGGGGTAAGAGAAGCAGCATTCACAGCAGGTATTTACAGAGTCAAAGGAATATCCTGGGATCTCCATGGAGATATTTGCAATCACACAAGTGTGGCAGCTGAATAACTGCTTTTGTTGAAACCCGGCGCCTGGAAGAGTTCTTGGCTGGCAATAGGTGACATCCATTGGCTAGATGCAATGTGATACCCCTTCCTCTCTTCCCAGACCATGGAGAAACTCTTGATCATTCTGCCCCCCGCCCCTCCTACATTTGATTTAAAAAAATTCAAAATACAGGGACTGGAGAGAGAGCTCAGCAGTCAAGAGCACTGGCTGCTCTTGCAGAGGACCCAGGTTTGATTCCCAGCACCCACATGGCGGCTGGGAATCTGATGCCTTCTTGTCCTCCATGGGTGCACTTACATACATGCAGCCAAAATGCTCATACACATAAAAGAAAAATAATAAAACTTAAAAAAAAATCTACAGAAAAGTTTAAAATTTTTTCTAGGGAACATGAACATGGCATGCCCAACATCTGGATTCTACTATAAAGCATCTGTTCTATCCACTGTCAGACCTTGGCCTTTTGTTTTTAGACAGGGTGTCATAAGCTCAAGCTGGTCTTATACTTGCTGTGTATTATAGAGGCTGGCATCTTATTCTTCATTCTCCTGCCTCTATTTCCCCTGTGTTGGGAATCACAGGCATGTGCCACTATACCCCATTAGATCCCAATTCTTAAACCACGTATGGAGCCCCATAGGGGACTATCAGTTTGGGGTGAGAAATTTTAAATATTATCCCTCCCTCCAGCAGGAAATTTGGGTCTGGAGAGCAACAGTCCAATTATCCATCTGTCCTTCCATCCATCCATCCATCCATCCATGCATTCATCCTCTCTCTGCCCTCCCCTTTTCATCCAGATTACTGAACCTAGGCCTAGCATTAGGTGACTGTGGCTCAGAACAAAGATGGCCTGGTCCTGTCCTATGGGTTCCATTCTTGTTGGTGTGTGGAAGCCGGTTAACAGCTACACAAATCAATTACTGTTGAGTGGGTGTCAGGAGGGCAGGGGGCAGGTGCACCCCAGAGGCAAGCATGGAGGAGAGGTGGACAGGAAGGCAGGTGCCTCTCCCCCCAGGACCTTTGGAAGGGGAGCAGGACATGGGTGGCACTACACAGTGCTGGATGGAGGCAGCAGATATCAGATGGAGGCAGCTGTGGGTGAGGCAGCCAGATGTTGGGTCCCTGGGGGGCCCTACCTGTTCCGAGGGGAGCCAGAGCAGCAGGAAGTGAAAGTGTTCTCTAGAGAGGAAGCCAGCAGGCAGGGGGAAGAGGCGGGGCTGGGGTATCTGAAATCAACCTTCCTGCCTCTTTGTGGAGTTCAGCCTTAAGGGCCTAAGCACTAAAGTCACCAACCACCCCATACCTCTGGGGACCCTCTTGGCCCCACTCACCCCTATGAGCCTGACACTGTAGATGGTCTGGTGTCTTTGTGGCCACCCCCCACCCCCCAGCTCCTTCCAGTACCCACTAAAAGAAGCAGAGGCCACAGAGCTCAAGGTTGGTTGGTTTGGTTTGGTTTTTAATTTGTCTCCAGTAAGCAAGGCCTCCTGCCCATCGCCCTCCCCCTGGCTAGTGGATTCCAAGGGAAGGGGGCCCAGAATTCACTTTGGTTGTTGGAGGCAGAGAGTTGGAAGGTCCCATACCCTGTGTAAGTTCTATTTTGAGGGTCCACCTCCCATGCTAGGTAAGTTAATTTGGTTTATTTAGCCACAGGGCCCCTGGAAACAGTCAAGAAAGTAGAGGCCCTGAGTGCCCTTTCTTGGCACAGTTGGGAGCTTGGGGGTACCCTGATCCCTGGAAGTAGTTAGAGGTTAGGGGAGGTTGCTCATTGCTTTAGGTAGTTAGAGGCTATGGGCTGTTATGAGACAGGACACATAGGCCTCTGCCCTTGGGCATGTTAAAAATTTGCTGGATGGAGCTGGGGGACCCTGGTTTCAAGAGAGTGGTTAAGAGACTGAAGGATATACTGAGCCCCCCACATGAGCCACATGTTAGAGGGACCAGTGCTGGATGGGGCTCTGCAGTCTCAGAGGAGCTGCCGTCCTGCCTGAGAGGCAGCCATCACTGGGACTTCTCGCCCTCTTTGGCCCTGGCTGCCTCCTTGGCAGGAGGTGGGGACCTTCTAGGGGAAGCGGTAGTGGTGGGGTTGGGGGTCTGTGACCCCGACTGGGCATCTATGCTGGCATGCTCCCTCCGGACAAGGTCTTCCAGCTCCTTCTGCAGGGGGCAAAGTTCAAAGAGGTCAGAGATCACCATATATCCCCATGGGCTGGGTCAGGGTGGGCTAGGGTGAGCCAGTGCCTCACCTTCCATCCAAGGAGGTCAGCAAGAGCCAGGCAGCCCTGGTCACAGTCACCCAGCCAGGCCACATCCCTAGTGTGAGCAGGAGAATCACTGGACTTGCTGAGGCCTGGCCAGACTTCTGTCCTTCCTCCCATGCTGGCCAGGCCCTCCCAGGCTCTGCCCCCTGCCCAGGCCCAACCGTCACCTGTAGGCCTTCTTGGAGTCAAAATCCATGCCGCCTCCCAGGCCCATCATCATGCCCAGGAAAGGGTCTGTCTGTGGGGGAGAGGACAGCTAAGAACACAGACCCTGGAGCTATGGTTTTCTTGTTTTAATTTTTTTTCTTTTTCAGTCTTTTTGAGACAGGGTCTCCCTGTAGCTCCAGCTGGCCTAGAACTCACTGTGTAGACTAGGCTGGCCTCGAACTCACAAAGATCCGTCTGCCTCTGCCTCCCAAGTGCTGGGATTACAGGCATGCGCCACCACGCCTGGCTTGTTTTAATTTTATTAATAAATCAATCAAGTAATTAATTAACTTTAAGATAGGTTCTCCCTGTAGCCCCAGCTGACCTGGAACTTGCTATGTAGACCAGGGTAGCCTCGATCTCACAGAGATCTACCTGCCAAGTCTAAAGGCATGTGCTACTATGCCTGGTTTTTTAATTATTATTATTTTTTATCTTTTTGAGACAGGGTCTCCCTGTAGGCCCAGCTGTCCTGGAACTCACCATGTAGACCAAGCTGGCCTTGAACTCACAGAGATCCACCTGCCTCTGCCTCCTGAGTGCTGGGATTAAAGGCGTGCGCCACCACACCCGGCTAATTATTATTATTTTTAATATAGAAGTTTTTCTTTTGAGACGGGGGGGGTCTCCATATAGCCCCAATTGGCCTGGTACTCAGTACATAGACCAGACTGACCTCGATCTCACAGAGAATCCACCTACTTCTGCTTCCTGAATGATGGGATTAAAGGTATGTGCCACCACTCCTGGCTAATTTTATTAAATTAAATTAATTAATTAAAAATATTTTACTGGGGCTGGAGAGATGGCTCAGTGGTTAAGAACATTGGCTGTTCTTGCAGAAGACCCGGGTTCAAATCCCAGCACCCACACAGCAGCTAACAACTGTCCGTAACTCCAGTTCCAGGGGATTTGACAGCCTCTTCTGTCCTCCGCAGGCATTGCACAACATAGGTGCACTCATCTACATGCAGGCAATACACTCATACACATAAAAAATAATAATAAATAAAATATTTGAAAAATAAATAAAAGGCATCAGATTCCTTGGAACTGGAGTTATGGATGGTTGTTACCCACCATGTCATGTGGGTGCTGGGAATTAAACCTGGGTCCTCTGTAAGAGCAGCCAGTGCTCTTACTCACAGAGATCCACCTGCCTCTGCTTCCTGCATGCTAGAACTAAAGGTGTGTGTCACCTACATTTACTTTTTAATTCATTTGTTTTTGTGTATGTGTTGTGTGCGTTTGTGCCCACAGAAGCCAGAAGGCATTAGATCCCCTGGAGCTGGAGTTACAGGCCATTGTGAGTTGCCCAACATGGGTGCTGGGAACTGGACTTGGGTCCTCTAGAAGAGCAGCAAGTGCTCTTACCAGCTGAGCCATCTCTCCAGCCCCAAAATAATTTTTTTTTTCCTGTCCCTGCTAGGGATTAAACTGGGGCCTTACATATGTGAGGCTAGCACTCTACTGAGCTACATTTTTAGCCCAATCACATTGTTTTTTGAGAAGGGGTTTATCAGTTGGCTGGAAACTTGTCAACTTGGCTATACTGGTTGGCCAGTGAGGCTCAGGGGTCCACCTGTCTCTGCCTCTCCAGCACTGGGATTACAAGTGCAAGCCACTACACCTGGCTTCTTTATGTGATTGTTGGGGATTGAACTCAGGTCCTCAATGCTTGTAAGGCCAGCACTTTATCCTATTTCAAAAAAGCTCCTGGAGCTAGAGAGCTGGCTCAGTAGTTAGGAGCACTGGCTGCTCTTGAAGAGGACCTGGGTTTAGTTCCCAGCACTCACACGGTAGCCAGCAACCATTGGTAACTCCAGTTCCAGGGGATCAGACGCCCTCTTCTGAACTCTGCAGGCATTGCGTGCATGTTGTGCACTTATACATGCAGACAAAACACTCATACACATAAAAATAAAAATGGGGCTGGAGAGATGGCTCAGAGGTTAAGAGCACTGACTGCTCTTGCAGAGGACTGGATTCAATTCCCAGCACCCACATGGCAGCTATGAACTGTCCTTAACTCCAGTTCCAGGGGAATCCGAAGCCCTCTTCTGACCTCCGCGGCATTGCACAACACGGGTGCACTCACATACATGCAGGCAATACACTCATACATATAAAATAAAACAATACAATATTAAAATAGACCAGGCGTGGTTGTGCACACCTTTAATCCCAGCACTCAGGAGGCAGAGGCAGGCAGATGTCTGTGAGTTCTAGGCCAGCCTGGTCTCCATAGCGAATCCAGGCCAGCTACAGCTACAGGGAGATCCTGTCTCAAAAAGACCAAAAAAAAAAAAATTTAAATAAATAAATAAATAAAAAAGCTCCTCCCAAGCAAATAAACAAATAGGTGTGGTGGCACATGCCTGTATAATTCCAGAACTTGGGAGGTGCGGGCAGGAAGAGCAGGAGTTCAAGGTCATCTCCAACTACATAGTGAATTTGAGGACAGGGACATGAGAGCCTGTCTCAAAACTCCACAAAACCAAGAGTATCAGGACTATGTATCTAGTGTTTCCACTGTATCAGATACTATGAGTCACCCAGAGACGGTTTTGATCACAGGAGTATGTGTGTGGGTTCTATGCAAACACTTTGACAGGTCATGAGGCTTGAGCATCTCCAGATTGTAGTATCTGAGGGGGTCCTCAGGTGCCATGGGACTGTCAGTGCTTGGAACACTGTGTGGCACACATGGTAAATGTCCTTCTGACGTCTATGCTCCAGTGTTGGAGGACATTCTCCCCAGCAGGGACAGTCTGCAGCAGGGAACGCCTACCCAGGGTCAAGGCCACCCCTGCGGACAGGTGAGAGAGGCCTGGACAGCACCTCAGCTGTACAATGGTCCCTTGGGCCCAGGAAGCGCTCAGGTTTCAGCAGGCTCCACTTGGGATTCTGCCATTTGCTCAAAAGGGTCTTGAATGACCTACAGGCCTGTGGTGTCAGGGTGGCCTGGGGCCTGACCCCCGTATTCTCCAGCCTGCACTGGGGAATCTACAGCATTGCTACTCCCCAGGAAGGACTCTACACTGAGACTTGTCTGCTCCTGAGGAAATGGTGGGAGGGAAGGGATGCCTCCAGTGAGCAGAGGGGAGTGGGAGAGGGGGGAGTCGAGGCAAGCTTACCTGGCCTGTCTTCTCCTTGTTGATAAGCAGGCGTGGGGTGGACAGTGGTGCCCTGGGAATGAGGAGCTTGGGGTCAGGATCTCCTCTGGCACCCCTAATACCCAGCTGACCCACAGCCCTGCTGCCCTCCCACATACTTGCTGATGAGGGAGGCAAAAGGCTGCACCTGCAGCGAGGTGCCCATAATGATGAGGAGGTCCACCTTCGAGAAGTCCTGTGGGGAGTGGTCAGTGAGGAGCTGCACCCTCTGCCCAGGTTTTGTCACCCCTTCCCCGGGTCCCTGCAGCACATGGGCTAAGTCCAGGCAGGCACTTACTGACTGCATGCAGGAGAAGAAGCGAGCCGGAAGGTTCTCACCGAAAAACACGATGTCTGAGGTGGAGACAGATGGACACAGAGACAAAGGAGAGTGTGACACAGGAGATAGAAACAGAACAGGCAGGAGTAGAGGGCTGAGGGGGAGTTGGGTGCAGGGGGGACCAGTGCCCCTCACTTTCCCCAGGACAGTAGACTAGCCAGGGAGCAGAGGTGACCACAGATGGGATGTGTGGGAGTGTGGCCTACGGGAGGGGTCAGTGGGGGAAAGGGGTCCCAGCCTCAATCCCTGCCCCCCAGTCCCTGGCCCCAAGGCTCACCAGGCTTCACCACACTCTGACATTTCTCGCACTTGGGAGTCACCTCTGAGAAGATCTTCTCTGAGTGGGAGAGAGGAAGGGATAAGGGGTTGAGGGGCCCAGAGGCTGGGGCAGCCCTCTCCTGCCCTTCCCCACTGTCAATATAAACATGCCTTGGGCTGGCAGTGCTGGTATACACCTGTAAATCTGCTCTTGGGAGGAGGATCGTGAATTATAGGGCAGCCATGGCTACATAGCAAGACCCCATCTCAAAAAACCAAGGGCTGTGGATGCAGATCAATGGTGAGGCACTTGTCTAAGAATTCACCAGTGAGGGCTGGGGGCACCGCTCAGCAGTAGAGTGCTTGCCTACAATTCAGTTAAGGGGCAGAGGGTGTGGTTCAGCAGAATACTTGCCCTCCAGGCCCAAGTCCTTTGGTTTAAGCGCCAGCACCACAAAACAAAAACACAAACCCACCATTAAGAGAATTGCAGGGGTGTCCACCTTGCTCCAGAGAAGAGCTCCATTCTTAGAGAACTGTCCCCTTTGCTTCTAGGCATCCAGGAGGTGGCTGCCAGCAGCCCTCCCTTCAGCTAGGCTAGCAGTGATTCCCACCCTTGGGTTCTGTGACAGCGTCCCCTAACACCATCCTATGACAATCACACGCCTTGTCTATGGATCAGGAAACCTGAAAGCAAGCCTGTCATTTGAAGCCCACAGAATTGGAACTCAGTCATTCAAGCATTCATTCATTTATAGAGTGCGGTTTTAATGGCAGTCACTGAGGGTATTTCTGGATGGACAGCATGCTATTTTGTGGGTGGTGTATGCAGTTCTGTGGAGACAGAAAGGGAGTGATGTCCATTGTGTCCTGCCCCCAGCCGTGCACACTTGGGCTGTTTAGGAATCCTCAGTCCGGGGACAGCTGGTTGGCATTCTGTCAGCAAGGCCGCCCTCCAGGGGCCCCACCACAAATGCCACAGCTGTCCTGCCCTCAAGGGGACACCAGAGGCTTTGTGAAGTCAGCATAAAGAATGTCAGCAATGGCTTTCGATGGTGCTGTGCTGGCTAAGGACTCAGCACAATGGCTGCAAGAAACAGGCTGGTGCTGGCACTCAGGACGTGGTTGTTTCTCCAGGACACTTTGTCCTTATATGAACCTCCAAGGTGACAGTGGTGAGCCCTGTGTGTACTCTTCACGCTCATCTCTGAGCAAGAAGGCATCCAGCTTCACATCCTGCAAATTCCTCTAGTACTGTCCAATATGGAAGCCTGAACCACATGGGACTTGTAGTAGAATGAATTTTAATTTTAATTTTTTAATTTTTTTGGTCTTTTTGAGACAGGGTCTCCCTGTAGCCCCAGGTGTCCTGGAACTCACTATATAGACCAGGCTGGCCTTGAATTTACAGAGATCCACCTGCCTCTGCCTCCCAAGTGCTGGGACTAAAGGCATGCACCATCACACCCGACTAATTTTAATTTTTAAATTTTTATGTGTCTGTTTGTGTGAGTGCATGCCGTGTATGTGTGTGGGAGTGCTTGTAGAAGTAAGAAGAGGGCCGGGTGTGGTGGCTCATGTCTTTAATCCCAGCACCAGAGGCAGAGGCAGGTGGATCTCTGTGAGTTCAAGGCCAGCCTGGTCTACATAGTGAGTTCCAGGCCAGCTGGGGTTACAGGGAGACCCTGTCTCAAAAAGACCAAAAAAAAAAGAAGGTAAGAGGAGGGTGTCAGATCTTCTGGCTTTGGAGTTACAGGTAGTTGTGAGCTACCTGATGAGGGTGTTAAGAACTGAATTTGGGGTCTCTAGAAGAGCAACAAGCACTCTCAACTGCTGAGCCATCTCTCTAGCCCTTTGTGGGTGTTTTTTTCTAATATAGCCCAGGCTGGCCTGGAACTTGCTATGTAGCAAAGGCTGGCTCCTGTCTCTACTTCCCAATCCTTGGGATAATAGGCATGTACCACTCCTGGCTTGTCTTCTACAATTTAAATCAATAAAGATGTAATAAAATTAGAGACTCTGTCTCAAAAAATTTAAGAAAACTAAAAATGCAGTTCTGGGTCAATGAGGTGGCTCAGTGGGTAAAGCCAAGCCTGACGAACTTTGTTCTGTCTCAAGGACCCACAGGATGGAAGGAGGGAACCGACTTTCCCAGATTGTCCTCTGACCTCTACATGCACGTTCTGGCACCCACATCTACCCCAAATAAATACATAGCACATAACAAAATACAGTTTTTGGTATAGTAGGCCCATTTCAAGTGCTCAGTGGCCACACAGAGCAAGTGGCCACCACAGTAGACACAGACAGAAGGTTTCCCTCATCTCAGAACGTCCTCCGGGGTGACCAACTGCTGTCCTCAGAATGCAGTTCTGTTTGCTTTGATTGGCCTTTCATGTAAGATGGTGATACACCTCAAAGGACACAGAGCTAGGTCTTCTGACATCACTGAACAGGCCATGTGACCGCTGAGGACCTATGTGTGTGTCTGGACTTACTCTGGAGTTCATATGTTTGCCAGGCTGGCAAAGAGGTGGTGTGGGAGCCATGACTTGACACCACCTCGCATCTTGTGGGCTGCCATGTCTGAAAAGAGCTAGAGAGCTGAGTGTGGTGGGGCAGGCCTGTAATCCCAGCCCCAGGGCAGCCAGAGCAGGGGGAGTGCAAATTCAAGGTCAGCCTGGGATGCACAAGGAGACCTTTTCCCAAAATAGACTGACTAAATGACTACCTAACAAAAGCCAGGGAACAGGGCCATGGGTGCTGAGGGGTGGGCAGGAAACCTTGTGGGAGACACCCAGTGCTCACCTTTCATCCAGCTCAGTGTGTACTCTTGTCGGCAGGCGGGGCTGACACAGTGTGATGTGTAGAATGTGCCGTGGGCCTCCACCAGGTCCTGCGGCTCCAGCCCTGCCACTCGCTCCAGTGTGTCTATGTTCTGGAAGAGGGATGGAAGGAAGAGACAGAAAGAGAACTATCCCTCATGGGTCAGAAGTCAGGGTGGGATTGAGGCTGTGAGATGTGGGATTGCAGTAGGAGAAGGGAGAGGCAGGCAGAGGTTATGTCCTGCTCATCCAGTGGAGCCACTGAGGGGTTAAGGGCCAGGGCTGCTTAAAGGATGGTACCTAAGCTCAAACGTCTATAAGGTCAGGCCCACTGGCACCAACAGCCCCATGCAGCATTTTCCTATAAAGTTGGCAATGTGGCTTCTGGTTAGCAGAAAATTTATTTTGGACTGGAGAGATGGCTCAGCTAACAGTTAAGAGCGCATATAGCTCTTCCAGAGGACTCGAGTTCAATTCCCAGCACCCACATCAGGCAGCTCATAAATGCCTGTAATTCCAGCTCCAGGGGATTTGATGCCTCTGGCCTCTGCCAGCACCTGCACCCATGTGCACATACCCACCCATGGACACATACATGTACACATAATTAAAAATAAAAAGCAAATCTTTAAAAAACACATAAAAAGTTCCTTTCTTAGTGAGCTACTTTGCTACCATTTGCCACAAATTTGTTGAAGTAATTGTACAGATCTTCAATGTTCTCCTCAGATGTGGCATCCTTGTGCAATACTCCACCTGCAGAGCTGTTCTTGACAGCACTGATCAAGCATTAACATAAATAAAATGAATCAGGTGAGGAGTGGTGGTGCATGCTTATAATCCCTGCACTTGGGAGGCTGAGGCAGGAAGATTGTTACAAGTTTGAAGCTAGCTTGGGCTACACAGCTAGTGTCAGGCAAGACAGGGCTACATAGGACAACCCTGCCTCAAAGAATTAAAATAAATAAATACACAAAACCATGCGTGGTGGATCCTGCATATAATCCCAGCATTTGGGAGGCAGAGGCAGAAAGACTGCCAGAAGTCTGAAGCCAGCTTGAGTTACATAGTGAGTTCCAGGCCACTATGAGACCTTGTCTCAAAAAAACCACAATAATGGGGCTGAAGAGATGGCTTAGTGGTTAAGAGCACTGGTTACTCTTACAGGGGACCTGGGCTCAGTTTCCAGCACCCACGTGGCAGCTAACAACTGTCCCGAACTCTAGTTCCAGGAGATCTAATGTCCTCTTCTGATCTCCACAGGCATTACAGGACACAGGCCATACTTACATACAGGCAAAACATTCATAAATGAATTTTTTTTAAAAACTCAAAACATAGCTGGGCATGGTGGCACATGCCTTTAATCCCAGCACTTGGGAGGCAGAGGCAGGTGGATCTCTGTGAGTTCAAGGCCAGCCTGGTCTACATAGTGAGTTCCAGGCCAGCTGAGGCTACAGGGAGACCCTGTCTCAAAAAGATCAAAAACAAAACAAAACAAAACAAAACAAAAACAAAGGGAGACCCAAAATAGAATAAAGGCAGGCATGGTGGCTCATGTCTTTAATCCTAGCATGCAGGAGGCAGAGGCAGGCAGATCTCTGAATTCAAGGCCAGCTTGGTCTACAAAGTGAGTTCCAGGCCAGCTGGGGCTACAGGGAGACCCTATCTCAAAAAGACCACCCAATGATCCAATGAACGAACCAACCAACCAACCAACCAACCAACCAACAAAAAAACCACAATAAGGGGCTGATAGGATGGCTCAGTGGGTAAAGACACTTGCCTAGAATCCACCAGTAAGCGGGCTGGGTGTAGCTCAGTGGTAGAATGTTTGCTAGTATGCCTAAGTACTAGGTTCAAACTTCAGTACCACCAAAAAATAAACAAAAAAGAGTGAAAAATCTATAATTCTATTGCACATCAATAATCTCAGGAGATTAAAGTTGAAAACTCAAGGTGTGTTTTTTGCTGGATGCTAATCACTTTCACACACTGTAAAGTAGAAACCCTAAGTCAAAGCCTTGTGAGTCAGAGACAGTCTGTACTAGGTGTTTGCCCATATGTCTTCGTGCACTGCCATGAATGAACTTCTCCATTATGCCCTGCTGCCTCTTTTGCATGTTGGTGCCATTGTTAAATAAAACGAGTTATCTGAACACAATCACTGTGGTACATCAATCCATCTGATAACCAAGATAGCTAGTGGCAGGCGGGCAGCATATATAGCATGGTTACCATGGACAAGACTCAAAATTTCATCACTACTCAGAACAGTGTGCAACTTAAATTTAGCTTGGGAATTGTTAGGCTGGTGAGATGGTTCAGCGGGGAGAGGAGCTTGTGCACAGGCCTGATGACCTGAGCTCAATCTCTGGATCCCATAAAGGAAAGTTAGGGTCTCCTCAGGCCCACACACTGCTTCCCTGCAACAGGAAACGGGTGTCACTTCCTATGGGTGACTGTGGGAGTCTCATGTTGAGGGGCACAACATGGCCCATGAGCCTGACACTGGCCCTCTGCTGGCACCCTTCATAGGTACAGTCTCACACAGGGCACCTGGCTCATGAAATGCAAGCTACCAAGAGCATTCTCCTTATATTTTTTCAATAGTGAAAAGCAGAAAAAGATATATTTAATGTGACCACATTGGGAAGAGGAGCCAAAGGTCCAGTGAACTCAGGTGTGGCTCCATCACCACTGTCTCACTGTGGCCTCAAGCAAGGGTCTGACAAGCTGTTAATCTCTTTCTAGGAGACAAGAAGCACGTTTCCCTCGATGCTCATTTTCCACTGAATTATGTGTAGGCTGGGAAGAGTGAAGTCTGGGGAGCAATCTCCCCGATTGTGATACCTGAATTTAAATCAGAAAATGAAGGCAAAGTGTTTATAAAAGAATAAGATGGGGCTGGAGAGATGGCTCTGCAGTTAAGAGCACTGACTCCTCTTGCAAAGGACCTGGGTGCGATTCCCAGCACCCACATGGCAGCTATGAACTGTCCTTAACTCCAGTTCCAGAGGAATCCGACGCCCTCTTCTGACCTCTGTGGCACTGCACGACATGGGTGCATTTACACACATGCAGGCAATACACTCATACACATAAAATAAAAATAATAAAGTATTTTTTAAAAAAGAATAAGATGGACTGAGTAGCTGGCTCAGTGGTAGAGCCCCTGCCTAGAATCCCCCAGTGAGGGGCTGGGGTGTGGCTCAGTGGTAGAGCACCTGCCTAGTATCCCCCAGTGAGGGGCTGGGGTGTGGCTCAGTGGTAGGGCATCTGCCTAACATGCAGGAAACCCTTGGGTCTATCCAAAAAAACAAAAAAGGAGAAAGTGTAATAGCTTTTTAAAAGCATAATGCTGCTATGCAGTGTGTATATGGAATGGTATTCCAGACAGGAGGGTGAATGGAAAAAACCCTCCTGTCAAGTGCAAATTCCACACATACAATTTTAAAGATCTTGAAGCTGTTCTCCCATGGGGACCATAGAGGCCTGAGTGAGCCTGACAACTGCGTGAATGTGTGAATGGGTTCCTGTGTCCTGAGCTGAAAATAGCATCACACACAGCTTCAAAAATGCTGCATCGTCACAATTCAGGAGTGAAGGCCGTGTGTTCCAGAAACTGGGTCAGTGACTCAAACAGCAGCTGAGGTGGCAGAAGAAGGCAAAGCACTGGAGAAAACCACGTCATGAAAGAGGCAAATGGAACACTTCTTCCACCTTCAGATATTTGTGTAATGAGCCATTTAAAAAAAAATCTATGTATGGGGCTGGTGAGATGGTTCAGTGGGTAAAGGTGCTTGCTGCCCAAGTTTGATGTCCAGAACCAATATAGTGGAAGGACAGAAACAACTCCCACAAGTTCTCCAACCTCCACACTTTGGCTGTGGCATGGTCACACATGTGATGGCTTTCTGGTTAAACGGGAACATGGTAGCAGTAAGGGTACTTGGCAGCCCTCACTCTAAGGTGGCTTTGTTCAAAGCCTCAGTTTCTCCTCCTGTCCGGTGAGTAATCAATCCCTATACAGCTTCTGTAGTTACAGCTTTTCTGCTGAGCCCAGAGCTGTCCCCTGTGCTCCCAGCTAGAGTACCCTCCTCCCCCATGCCTGCTCTTCCACACTCTCGGGAAAGCACAGGAGGTGCTCAGTTGAGTCCTGTCATCAAGACTCCATCTTCCAAGGAGATTCCTAACCTACCTGCTTTTCTGCCTCAGTGCCTCACCTGGGTCCAGCTACTATCCACTTTAGGTGGACTATCACAGTAGCCTCCAGCCTGCTCTCTGAGGCTCCCTGCCCCCCGTCCACACACAGCCATAGAGAACCTGTCTAAAACATCCTTTCTTTTCCCCCATAACTCCAGGGTCCCTCCCAACTCACAGGCCTGCCTTTTTTTCTTTTTTTTTTTTTTTTTTTTTGAGACAGGATCTCACTATGTAGCCCTAGCCAGCCTAGAACTTGCTATGTAGACCAGGCTGGCCTGGATCTCACAAACATCCACCTGCCTATGCCTCTTGAAAACTGGGATTAAAGGTGTGCATCACCATGCCTGGCTTAGGTCTTTCGTAAATGTTACCTTCTCATCGAGGCTTCCATAGCTACCTTGTTCTCACCAGCAACCCACCCGAAAGACCCATCCCTGTGTAGCTTCTTCAGAGACCAGGCACCATCTGACATATGAGGTCTGTGACTCGTTCCTCTTGTCCTCGGCATCCCCATACAAGAGTATCAGCTCCAGGAGGGCAGAGCTGTCTGCTAGTGCTGGTAGGGCCTAGTACTGGGCTGGACCCAACACTGGACATCTGTTGTCTCAGAAGCTGGCAAACAGGGTGCCAACAGGGACATACAGCACACAGAGAACACAGGGCTTCAACGGAGCTCTTAGCGTTACACTGAGCCTTGGCCTTTGAGTAAAGCTGACTCTCAGAGTCAGAGGACAGTGTACTGAGCTTGGGCAGCCCCTGTTAGGATGAAGCTGTCTCCTCCCCAACTAGGGCCTCTACCTGCTACATTTGAGGAACCTGGATCCCAAAAGAACCCATCCTCCCCCTGGTGGTAGCTTTTGAGATTGCAGGTGCCAAAAGAAAACACCTTTTATTCAACTTGTTCGCTTTCTAAACTGTACAATTTGGAGTCCCCCCATTTTTCTTCTTTTTTGACTGAGATAGGGATTGGACAAGGATCCTAGTCTGGCTTTGAACTCACTATGTAGCCAAGGTTGACCTCACACTTATGATCCTCCTTCCTCAGCCTCCCGAGGGTTGGGATTATAGCTGTGTGCCACCAAGCTTGGCCAGTTTGAGATTCTGAGGTATGATTTATAGCATGCTCGTAGAATACTACGGAACACTCTGAATTTCAACACACTGATGAAACAAGGGTTCCATTTCGCAAACATGTTCTTAATGTTACTAGTCTAGAAGCCAGCAGTGTGAGCACCCCCTTACTGACACCACAGTGTCCTATCAGCCCACCGTGTCACACCAGGCTTAGAAGTGTACAAATCATAAAAACACATGCCTTCTTTCTCTTTCTCACTATGTAACCTTGGTTGGCCTGGAGTTCATTATATAGACTGGACTGGCCTTGAACTCAGAGATCCACCTGCCCGAAAGGTGTGTGCACCACGCCCAGCAAGGCATGCCTTCTTTATGACAGAAACTCGCCTGTTAAAACTGTCCCAGTGTACTGATTTTTTGTTAACTTAAGTCACTTCGGTATCATCTGTGATCAGAACCAATGAGAAATCGGGGATATCTGTGGTATCGATGGGGTCCATTCAGACACAGTCCCTTTGCAGTATGGATGAGATGCCCTGACAGGAATACACTATCACCTCACAACAGACTTGAGAGGGCCCCGAGCTGTTCTGGTCCACTCCATTATTTTTAAAATTTTACATTCTATTTTAATTGATTGACTAATTAATTTAGAGACAAGGTGTCATATAGTACAGGCTAGTCTCAAACTCCCTATGTAGCCCAAGGATGACCTTGAACTTCTGATTCTCCTTCCTCCACTACCAAGTGGACCACTATGCCTAGTTTCTGGCCTTTACTTTAGAAAGAGGTAACTGAGGCTAGGAGGAAGCGACTCACTGCAGTCACTCACTGCAATAATCTGAGCCCTGGTCCCTGGCCCTGTGCCTGCATGGGTGGTCCCCAGTTCTGAGACTCTGCTGAGGAGGCATCAGCCCCCACAGGCACCCGTGGCAGTGCCACCTACCTGCGTGTAACAGCGCAGCAGCAGCCCCTTCTCCTTCAGCAGGCGGATGAAGTAGTGGCAGATGGTAGGCTAAGGAGAAGAACAAGGCTGATGGTAACGGAATACACAGCCGCCACCGCTACCACCTCCTTCAAACACCCACCACCATTGCTGTGTTAGGAACTACAATAGTCCTGTGTCTGTTCTGTCTCTTGGGCCCTGTGAAGCCACGAGTGGCCTGCTTCCATTCCACAGATAAGGAGATGGAGGCAAAGGCATGGGGATGTCTTGCCAACATCACAAATTGGTTAAGTTGCAAAGTTAGGCTCACAGTCAGGCTGCACTGTGAGAACCCATTCAGATATTATGGCTTTAGTTTACAGATGGAGAACTGAGGCTCATAGACAGAAGGTAAGAAACGAAGGAGCAGAAGGGAACGGTAGTCCAGGCCTAGAACCTGGGTGCATTTTCCATTTATTTATTTATTATTTATTTATTCATTCATTCATTTTTTAAAAAATATTTTATTTATTATTTTTATTTTATGGGTATGCTTGTATTGCCTGCATGTAGGTAAGTGCACCTGTGTCATGCAGTGCCTGTGGAGGACAGAAGAGGATAACGGATCCCTTGGAACTGGAGTTACGGACAGTTGTTAGCTGCCATGTGGGTGCTGGGAATCGAACATGGGTCTTCTGCAAGAAGAGTTGATGTTCTTAACCCCTGATCCATCTCTCCAGCCCTCATTCATTTTGTCTTTTTGAGACAGGGTCTCCTTTTAGCCCCAACTGGTCTTGAACTTGCTATGCAGACCAGGCTGGCCTTGAACTCGCTATGTAGACCAGGCTGGCCTTGAACTCACAAAGATCCGCCTGCCTCTGCCTCCCAAGTGCTGGGAAGGCATGTGCCACCATGCCTGGTGCAATGTTCTTAATGATTCTTTAACATTTGTCTGGATAGCCCAGGAGGAGCCTCCTTCCCATGCCTGCTCTTTTCAACCTCCCATGCAGAAAAAGACCTCACCTTGAACTGCCCAGGATAGAGCTCCTTGGCAAGGGCAAAGAAAGGTTCTGGATGTTTCTGTAGGAGAGAGAGAACCAGAGGGATACATGCTGCAGGTGTGGTGAGGGCTGTAATTGGGAGACCTTTCCTCTCCCTTCCCCTCAAGTCAGCTGTGTACCTTGAAATAGCTGATCTCAAAGATGGCCTCTGGGTAGGGAAGGCGGTACTTCTCCAGGTTGGCATAGAGGCCGGTGGTTGGAGAGCGGAAGTCAGGGATGCCTGCAGCTGAGGGAGGAGAGGAGGGCATGCCCAGTCAGAGGTGCCAGTTCCATGCATGCACTAACCCTTCTGCCCTTACCTAGTTCCTAGAAGGGGCTCCCCCTTCCCAGGGATGGCTGTTGGAGGGGACACTTACATGTGGAGATTCCAGCTCCCACCAAACAGATGATCCTTTGACCTGGAGGAGAGAGTTTAATGACATTTGTTAAGGTTTACTCAGTCTCTATAGAAACACCACACAACCTGGCCAGACACTATTTCCACCAGGCCCAGGCCCAGCGTTTCAGGTACAGGACTGTCTTCCCAGTGTCTGGCAGATAGGAAGGGTGGTATTAACATTCTCATGTGTCAAACAAGGAGAGCAGGGGTCGGGATGGGAACATGGCGGATGGGCAGAAGCTCCCACAGGGAGAAGAGACAGCATGGCTTTAAGTGACATCAACTTAGGAAGAGTCCAGAAAAGCTACTTGAGCAGAATATTCTCCTTTTAACCAGATTAAACAACTGTGGATAAATGTCAAGGAGAAAGCTGAGAGTCAAGTTGGTGGGGCGGCTCTGGCTTGTCTAAGGCCTTGGGGACCATCCCTAAACTTTAAGAAACAAACCAAACCAAACCAAACAAACAAAAACTTTCTTTCTGAGACAGGGTCTCCCTGTAGCCCCAGCTGGCCTGGAACTCAATATGTAGGTCTGGCCTTGAACACAGAGATCCACCTGCCTCTGCCTCCCAAGTGCTGGGACTACAGGTGTGCGCTACCACACCCGACATAATTTTTTTTTTAATTGAGAAAGGGTGTCATGTAGGCTAGGTTGACCTCAAATCAAACTTGCTATGTAGCTGAAGATGACCTTGAACTTCTGATCCTCCTGCCTCCACCTCCTGAGTGCTGGGACTGTAGGCATGTGCCACCATACAGTGATGGGGTTGAATCTCTCCCAAGCCACAGCCTGAGCCCCTCAACTGTACTAAACTTTTCCAGACCTGTGATCTGTTTGCTTATGAGTGCTCTGCTCCCCAGTTTTTCCTAGTTCTAATAAAAGAAGGTGGACAAGAGGTTGGGCTGGTGGCACACACCTTTAATCCCAGCAGGCGGATCTCTGTGAGTTCGAGGCCAGCCTGGTCTACATAGCGAGTTCCAGGCCAGCTGGACTACAGGGAGATCCTGTCTCAAAAAGACCAAAAAAAAAATTAAAAAAAAAGAAGGTGGACAAGACACATTTGAATCAGTTGGCACCCAACAGCTGCATGGAAATAGGCATGCTGTTATCTTAGCCACTGGCTGGCAGGCAGCCCAAGCCACACAGAGCCCTGGCATCTGCCTGTCAGCTGATGGACAGATACAAGTATGGTGCCCCTGGGGTGTCCTGTCCAAGAAACAACAAGTGTGAACAAAGTCAAAGCCTGCTACAGGGGCCAGCAAGATGGCTTAGCAGGTAATGGTGCTTGTTGCTAAGCCCGATGACCGGAGATTAATCACCAAGGACCATATGGTTGAAAGAGAAAACTGACTCCTGAACGTCGTCCTCTGACCTCCCATATGTACAGTGGCATGGACAAATCTATATTAACACCCACATCATACACACACAAAAAATTACACACACACACACACACACACACACACACACACTAAATGTAAGAAAAAAAAGTCTGTCACAACCTAGGCTGTGGATTTCTTTAGAATTTCACTAGCCCAAGACTGGCTGGAGCCAGTGGGCACTGAGACAGGGGGAACATGCATTCTAGATTCAAGGGACCTGGCATCCCTGGATGTGGTAGCATATGTCTAATCCCAACACTCAGGAGGCTGAGGCAAGAGGATTATGAGTTCAAAAGCCAGTTCTAGCTTCACATCCAGATCTTGTTTAAAAAAATTGGAAATAATGTTTTAAGGCAACTGGTATCAAATCCTGACTGCCACATGCCAGATGTTTGCACCAATTCACAACTTTTCTGTCTCAGTTTCTTCTGCTGCTCATATTACTTCTTTTTTTAAAATTTATTTATTTATTTATTTTCTGTGTATGAATGTTTTGCCTGCATGTATGTAAGTGTATTGTGTGTGCAGTACCCTCAGAGGCCAGAAGAGGATGTTAGTTCCCCTGGAACTGGAGGTACAGCCAGTTGTTAGCTGCCACGTGGGTGCTGGGAACTGAGGGTCCTCTGCAAGAGCAGCTAGTGCTCTTAACCATTGAGCCATCTCTCCAGCCCCCTAAGAAGATTTCTTTGAGGATTTTAGAGATAAAGGTGACAAGCAGGTAAGAGGATGCTTGCTTAGTACTTAGCCCAGAGCCTGGCAAACAGTGGAAACCCAATTAATTACCATTCATCAATAGTCCCTAGAGGGCACCCTATGGGCCCATGACCTCAAGATCTGGTGCAAGAGGAGGAAAAAACAAATGCTTTCTGGCCACTGCTGGGTTCTCTCTGAGCCTTGCAGGCCCCAGGCCTGCTGCAGGCAGCTGCCCATCCTGTGCCAGGACAGGGAGGCTCAGCCAACTGGCTGGCCTGGCTGTCAAGGAGGGAGATGCAGCTGGAGGAAGGGGAAACCAGACGACATCCTCAACAAAAGGCCACTCAGGACCCTCAAAGGTTCATTGTTCCCATGGAGGACGGCGAGGGCCTGGTTTCTCAGACTTCTGTGGCTCAGCCTCAGCCAGAAATACAAATTTCACATTGACCCAGCCAGCAGGCATCTAAACACCACATCTGATATAAGCCTCCTGTAATAACCACGGTGAACACTTCCACTGCTCTCAGAGATCTGACCCTACTCTAAACACTGACCTCACGTGTGTGTGTGTGTGTGTCTGTGTGTGTGTCTGTGTGTGTGTGTACATGCATCTGTGTGTGCCAAAGAAAATGTGTAGAGGTCAGAGGACAACTTGTGGGAGTAGATTCTCTCCTACCACCATGTGGGTCCTGCAGATTAAACTCAGGTCATCAGGCTTGGCAGCAACTATCTTTACTTACTGAGCCATCTCACCATCCCCACCCTGTTTTTTCAGACAGGGTCTCTCATTGGGATCTGGGACCAGCTGGTCAGCCAAACATCAGGGGTCATCCTGCCTCTGCCTGCCCAGCCCTGTGGTTACAAGCACTGAACCTTTTATGTGGGTGCTGGGGATTGAACTCAGGTCCTCACCACGCTGTGTGGCAAGCACTTTATGAATTGAGTTATCTTCTTCATTCCCAGTTTTTCATGTAACCCAGGCTGGCTTTAAAGTCACAATCCTTCTGTTTCAGCTTCTGGAGCAGCTGGGATTACAGGTCTGCCCAGCATGCTTGGCACATTTACACCTCTGTTAATTGTCTTAGTCCCTCCCAACAACAACTCCAGAGGTATTATCATTCTTTCTAGGACACAGGCTGGCCCATCAAAGGACAGTAATACATTCACTACAGATGAGACCACAAATCCAGGCCTGGTGCTGCTGGTCTGTATCCCAGTTATTTAGGAGGTTTGAGACAGGAAGATCAAAGCCTTCAGGGGCTACAGAGGAGGTTTGTGGCCAGTGTGGGCAACTTAATGAGATCCTGTCTCAAAATAAAAAGTCAAAGAGGCCTGGGCTATCGCTCACTGCTCCAGTGCTTGCCTAGCATGTTGGAACCCTTGATGGGTTCCATCCTCAGTACCTGCCGCCCTGACCCTCAAAAACAGAGATGTGACTCAGGTCTCATCAATCAGAGCAGTCATGTGACCCAGCCTGAGCCAATGACAGAAAGTCTCCCCACTGTGGCCTGGATTACAGGGAAAAGCCAGATCATTTATTTTATTTTTTTTTTAACTTAAAAAAAAAAAAAAGTTATGTGGTACCAGGCATGGTGGTGCATGCCTTTAGTCCCAGCACTCAGGAGGCAGAGGCAGGTGGATTTCTGTGAATTTGAGGGCAGCCTGGTCTACATAGTGAGTTCCAGGCTAGCTGGGGCTACAGGGAGACCCTGTTTCAAAAAGACCAAAAAAAAAAAAAAGTTATGTGAGTGTTTTGCCTGCGTTAAGTGCGTCCATGTGTGCAATGCTCGAAGAGGCCAGAAGAGGGCATCAGATCCCCTGAAAGCAGAGTTACAGATGATTACAAGCCATCTGGGTGCTGAGAACTGAACCTGGGTCCTCTGCCAATGGGCCAGATCTTTTGAGCAGCAGCTGCTGGGTTGGTTGACCTCCTGTTTGGAGCTGCCCAAGTTTCCTTCACCCTGACAGATGGAACAACAATTCCAGAGAGAGTGGCCCTGTTTTGAGAAAAACGGAAGTACCTGAACCCTCCATGCTTAGAACTGAATTTTAGTCTAAGAGAGTCTAAAATTAAGACCCAATCAACCTACTAATTGTAAAGCTATTCTTGCTCTGGAAACAAGTCTGTATAGGACCCCCATAAACTCAAACTATAAAGTGATCTCTGCTCTGCAGACAAACTCTTCTGAGACCCTCACTGAAAAATATAGGCTGAGGGGCTGGAGAGATGGCTCAGCAGTTAAGAGCACTGACTGTGCTTGCAGAAGACCCGGGTTTGACTCCCAGCACCCACATGGCGGCTACAAACCGTCCTTAACTCCAGTTCCAGGGGAATCTAAAGCCCTCTTCTGACCTCTGAGGCACTGCATGACATGGATGCACTCACATACACATGGATGCAGGCAATACACTCATACACATAAAAATTTTAAAAAAGTAATAATAAAGAAAAAAAGAAAAATATAGGCTGTAGGCCTTAAGCAAATGTTGCTAACCAAACTCTTACTGTTTTGATGTTTGTTTGTTTAGTATGTGTGTGTGTGTATGTGTGTATATGTGTGTGTGTGTGTGTGTGTGTGTGTGTGTGTGTGTGTAGATGCATTTATGTGTGCACAGACTTAAGCTCTCCTGCAGGTTCCTGCAAGTCACCCCTTTTTGACTACCGAAGGTCAGCGTGGATCGCTGAGGGCGGCTGCTTTCCTTGAACCTTCCTGCTCCTACCCCGACAGTCTGTGCGCTCCCTTCCTAGCCAGGGTTGGGTTTCGTTTTTGGTGTTCTCTTACTCAATCTTTTTTTTTTTTTGGAGATTTTTTTATTTTATGTGTATTTTGCCTGTATGTCTGTAAGTGCACCTATATCATGCAATACCCAGAGGCCAGAAGAGGGTGTCAGATCCCCTGAAACTGGAGTTACAGATGGTTGCTAGCCACCATGTGGTGCTGGGAACCAAACCTGGGTCTTCTGGAAGAGCAGCCAGTGCTCTTAACTGCAGAGTCATTGCTCTAGCCTGATAATTTTGCTTTTTCGTTTTTTTTTGTCTTTTTGAGACAGGGTTTCCCTGTAGCCCCAGCTGGCCTGGAACTCACTATGTAGACCAGGCTGGCCTAGAAGTCACAGAGATCCTCTTGCCTTTGCCTCCCGAGTACAGGGATTAAAGGTGTTGCACCACCACCCCTGGCCTTATTTCTGCTTTCTTGAGACAAGTTCTTGCTATATGGTTCAGGCTGCCCTCAAACTTATGATCTTCCTGCCTCAGTCTGCTGAAGAGTTGGGTTTCTTGATACTTTTTTTTTTCTTTTCTCTTTTTTTTTTGAGAAAAAAGTTCTCATGTTGCCCAGGATGGCTTCAACCTTGATACATAGTTGAGGCTGACCTTGAACTCCTGACCCCTTTACCTTTACCTCCCCAAAGTTGGGGTTACAGTGTAGGGTGCCACCATAATCTGAGGGTTTTCTTGCTACTTGTATACCAAAAGCGTGCAGTCACTTGGGGCCAGGACCAGGACAAGAGGTCAAACCTCAGGGACTCACAGCGCTCGCTCTGCATGTAGCGTGTCACGCCTTCCAGGGTTAGCTCATCCAGCACACGCTCCTTCTGGGATCCCAGGCCCAAGGTCTGGGAGAAGAAATTCCGTAGGAAGTCCACTGACCAACAACAAGCAAGACAGTGCTAGGTAGGTATTGAGCCAGAATGTGTCGATGGCCCAAGGCCCTTGCCCCATCCAGGGGACCCACTATCCTTGTGCCACTAAAGTCCAGGTGCCTGGCACAGCTGGCAGCCTCCAGTACCCTGCTCTAGCATCAAACCAGTTGTTACGTACTTTGGGTGTTACTCCTCGTGGAGTTGAAGGTATATCCCCAGAAGGAATATCCCCTAAAATCCCACACTCTGGATTCCCTCCCTGCTCCCCCCCCCACCCCCCACCAGGAGGACACTTACTGTCTGCCTCTCCACCGGTGGCTCCTCCCTCAGTGTCTGAGTCTGAATCCTGGAAAGGGCAGGTAGGGTGGCCAAGCCCAAGAACAGAGGTTAGGGGGAGACGGGGAGAGGGGGAGAAGGGTTGGGTGTGACACCAGGTTCAGAGGGGGGCTCTAGGGCAGGTTTCGGTGAGGAGGGGACTTGAGCCCTTGGCTTGTGACAACAACTTCAAGTGACTGATGTTCTGGGCCTTATTTTTTTTTTTTTGTTTTGGTTTGGTTTTTTGAGACAGGGTCTCCCTATAGCCCTGGCTGACCTAGAACTAGCTATGTAGACCAGGCTGGCCTTGAACTTAGAGAGATCCACTTGCCTCTGCCTCCCAAGTGCTGGGTTTAAAGGTGTGTATCACCATCTGTGGCTTCTTGTTTTTTGAGTCAGGGTTTTATGTAGTTCAGGCTAGCCTCAAACTTGCTATGAAGCCTGGGTGACCTTGAACTTCTGATCCTCCTGCCTCCACTTCCCAAATGGGATTCCAGGTGTGGAGCTGAGTATCAAGTTCAACTCTCTAAGTAGTCAGCCATTACAGCCTTGTAAGGTGCTAGGGGTTAAACCCAGGGCTTCAAGTATTTGAGGCAAACATTCTACTGACGGAGCTACATCTCCAGCCCATGAGCTTCAATTTGTACAGAGAGCTCAGAGGATTGCTGAGAGGCTGCGTGAGTGAGTGAACACAAGGCGTTCCTCCGTAAGTGCTGGCTCTGGATACAACCACAGGCTTCCTATCCACAGGCTCCCTTTGTGTCCCTCTCCCCTAGAGTGAGGGCTGCCTGTCCTTCTTAACAGCCCTGTTCTCTGAGGACCCTCTTGAGAGCCATGCCAGACTAAGGCCTTGGTGCTTGCCTTTGCAGTCCCCTGCTTGATGCCTCTTCAATTTGCAGCTGTCTGGGGCTCTGTCCCTTGGCCTCTCAACCAGCCCAGTCCACTTCCCTAGCCACCTGCCACATCTGTGCCGAATCCTAGTCACTGGTGATGTGGCTTCTCTGTCCCTAGATCTAAGATTGCCAAGGTAACCCTACTTTGCTCCAACCATGTCACAGACTGGCTTCACATCTACCCAAACCGGCTCCTCTTCCCAATCTCCATCCGTGTGTCACTTACCCTCTGTCATAGTTTCCAGAGTACCTCCTCAGCGTCCTGAGCCCCCTCTGCTGACTCCCTTGCTCTTCTCCAGGGCTCCACCTGGTCCTCTGCCCTGCGGCCCTGCCCTGGCCTCCTCCTAGGCTCCTGGACTCAGTTTCTACCTCTGATCACCTATTACCTGTCTCGGCAGTCCACTCCCCTCTTCTTTAAAGCTCCATGGATTACAAACATCTCCACAGTCTGAGACAACATCAGCCCCACAAGGGCAGGGACTTTATCTGTGTTCACCATTCAATGCCCAGTCTCGAGAGCAGGGCTTCCAGAACCACCTAGCACTGAATGCATGCTTACCAAGTCCTCAACAGCCCTGCCCTCTGAGGACTCTCTTGAAAGCCATGCCAGAGTAAGGCCTTGGTGCTAGCCCTGCAGTAGATGTCAGAAATAGTCTGACCAACTCAGTCACCCACTCAGAAGCCCTCAGACAATCCCTTCCACACCCTGCTTCTAAGCCTCCCCAAATTAAAAAGCTTCTTGTTGTTTGAGATGGTTTCACTATGAAGTTCTGACTGGCCTGAAACTCAGAATGTAGACCAGGCTGGCCTGGAACTCAAAGATCCACCTGCCCCTGCCTCCTGAGTGCTGGGATTAAAGGTGCGCACCACCACTCCAGGTTTGTTATCACTCTTTTGATACATGTCTCATGTAGCTCAGGCTGCCTCCAACTTGCTATGTACCTGAGATATCCTGCTTCTACCTTCCAAGTGCTGGGATTATAGGTGTCTGTCACCATAATGGCTGGCTCTAAAATGTGTTTATTGCTTTTGAAAATTATACAAGTTGGGCTAGCAAGATGGCTCAGCAGGTGAAAAGGTGCTTTCTGCTAAGCCTAACGACCTCAGTTCAATCCTGAGGTCCTACATGGTGGAAGTACAAAACTGACTCCCAAAAGTTGTTCTCTGACTTCCACACATGTGTACCCACCCCACAAAAATGAATAAATGTAATCTCACTCAAAGGTAAAGCACTTTTGTAGTATGCACAAGGTCCTGGGTTCAAACCCAGCACCACCAACCAACCACCAAAGCCAAAACAAGAAATAGTCAACAGTATTCAGTCCAGGTTTTCTCTCTGTATGGGTTTGTACTCCACTGTTACAGAATGGGTCTTGCCAGAGTATCAGTACTGCACCTTGCATTTTCCCCGCACAGACCTACCTCCTTTGTTAAAATATTTATTTTTATTATTTTAATTTTTTATTTTATGTGTATGAGTGTTTTGCCTGCATGCATGTAAGTACACCAATGTTGTTCAATGCCCACAGAGGTCAGAAGAGGGTGGTGGACCCCTGGAACTGGAGTTACAGATGGCTGTTAGCTGCCATGTGGTGCTGGGAACTGAACCCAGGTCCTGTGCAAGCGCAGCCAGTGCTCTTAACTGCTGAGCCATCTCTCCAGCCCCCCATCTCATTCTTTTAAGCAACTACATAGTAATACATTGTAGGATGAACCATAGTTCAGTTAATCCCTCTCCTGATAGCCATTCGCGCTATCTCTAGTGTTGCTCTGTTCTGGACAATGCTGTGATTGACATTCCCACATCTTTCTGTGACTGAGGATCCCTTTTTACCATGAATTAGTCTTGCTTTGGAAGCCAGGCAAGTGAGACACTGAAGACCACAGAAGGCTGCCTCACCTCTGAAGTGACTCTGCTGTGCAGCTGTCAGGTGTTGTGACCCTAGCTTCTTCACTTGCCTCCAGGCCAGCTGGGGCTACTGGGAGACCCTGTTTCCTGCCCTGCTCCCAGGTCTCTATACTCTGCATGGAATGCCATTTCTGACCTTATCTAGGAAGTGACTTATTCTTTATGACACTGTGATTATATCTTGGTCTTATTCCTAGATCAGCCTGTGGGTTACTCCAAAGAAGGGTCTGGCTACAATCTTCTATAACTCACAAAGTTTGATGTATACTCATGGAGTGCTCTGAGCTGGACAAGGTCTCATAATATAGCCCAGGTTAACCTCCATTCCTCAATCCTCCTGCCTCAGCCTTCCAAATGCTGGGATTACAGGTGTGTGCCACCACACCCAGCTTTTGGGATACTTTGACAATCACCCTGTAAGGTCATTTTCTGGTTGTCTATGAGGTCTGTAACTTCAGGGACTAAATTGGAAATCTGTCCAGGCCTAGCATAAATGAGGTTCAGAAGGGATTGGGGGTAGGGCAGGCAACAGTAAGGAAAGTATTATTTGGGAGGGCAGCCTGGGGTTGAGGCTGCACATTTTCCCCTGACAGTCCCCAGAAGCCACCATTCTCCCAGGAGGCTGCACGAAACCCCACATGGGGATCAGGGCCACAGTCTCCCCTCTTCCACCTCCCCCCCAGTGTGCAATGTGGGAACAAATCCATCTCTCTCCTTCCCTCCACCCTTTCCCCCATCTCACCTGAGCCTCCTGCACCTTCCCTGCCTGGGTCTCCAGAGGGTCAGAGGCTGGGGAGGAGGGGGAGCAGACGTGGTTACAGTGGGGGGAATAGTTAAGGAGGTGAGGAGGTTCAAAAGTGTTGAGGGGGGGACAAGAGAACCCACCAACCTAGTTATACTGGGATCAGGGAGTCGGGGTGGTAGTGAAAATGAAGGAGATGGAGATAGAACTGTGTGGGGTAGAAAGGCTAAGAATGGGAAGGTTTAGAAGGAGAAAGTAGGGAAAGGCAGGGCTGAAGGGAGACCAGAGTTAGGACACGGTAGTGTGTGCTCCGGCAGAGTGAGGGAAGGCGAAAGCCAAGTTTTTCGAGAGATAAGCTGGGATACTTCAGCAGGGAGGTGAGTGTGGGCGCGGAGATGAAGTGGAGGTGGGAGGTTTAGGAGCGACTCAGGAACCGAAGGGAAGACATAGGAAGAAATACCAGGGTTCCCCAGCATCCTACAGTTGCCGGAACACCAGATACCCTTAGCAACCGGGACCGCGGCAACTTTAGTCCTTAGCAACAAGGGTCCTCCACAACCAAAGTGCAGGAAACGCGATCATTAGCAACTTGGCAAACGGACGTACTCCGCGGACCCTTAAAACTTCGCGACCCAGAAACCCACCAACCTAGCAATACCACCACTTAGCAACAGCCCTCTGAATCCTACTCCCTTCACAAAGCCCCTGCCTCCCGGCCCACCGAGCCTGCCCTCGGGCCCCGGGGCCTGCAGCCCGAAGCCAGGCCCCGGCGCAGCCCGACCCTCCCAACCCAGGTCCCCGACTCACGGTCCGGCTCGGCCATGGGAGCGGGGCGGGGGCCCTCGGGGCTGTCACCGACTGCTCTGCCCCGTGACGGCACCGGAAACTAGAGGGGCAGGGATAGGGTAAAGAACTACAACTCCCAGTAGCCAACGCGGCTCCGCTTACGCTTTGGCATAGGGCGCCTCTCAGGTAAGAAAAACTCAGGAGGACCGAACTACAAATCCCAGAAGGTCTGGCGCCGGCGGCCCAGTTGATGAAGGGCGTCTGGAAAACGTGAGGACCCTCAGCAAGCGATTGTCCTTCTCATTACTCTGATTGGTTACGGTGCGGCATGGGGGCGTGGCTTATCGATTTAGCCCATTCTGATTGGGTAGAGGAGGGGGCGTGTTGGGGAAATTCCCGGCGGGGCGGAAGCACCGAAGCTTCAGCCAGAGCCAGGCGACTGGCAGGCGGTCGCAAGGGACCCCTGAGGTTGAAGGGGCCATGGCGGGGGTCGCATGCTTGGGGAAAACTACGGACGCGGATGAATGGTGTGACAGCGGCCTAGGCTCGCTGGGTCCCGACGCAGCGGCTCCCGGAGGACCAGGGCTTAGCGCCGAGCTGGGCCCGGAGCTGTCTTGGGCGCCCCTCGTATTCGGCTACGTCACTGAGGATGGGGACACGTGAGTTAGTCTTAAATTAGCAAAGGGAGCCCTAGGATCCGACCTCTGAGTCCTGGTGGCTCCTTAACTTCTCATTCCTGAGCCTGACTTCCTATGCTAGACTTCCCGACCCCTAACGCCCAAGTTCTAAATTGTTAGATTTGTCTAGTTTTGCCCAAAGTCAAGTTTCTCACCCTTCTTGAACTCTGATTTTCAGCTTCTAAAACCTGCATCCTACCCACTGATCCCCAAACCTTTCTGACCAGTCTCCAGATTTTTAAAATTTTTTTATTTTTTAGCATTCTCTCTTTGTGACCTCCAAATGTGGTCTTTGATACCTAGCACTTCATGTCTAAGTCAGGCTTTGATTAGATTCATCTGTTAACCAAGTAGTTCTCCCAAACTACTATCTTCTAAGCCCCATTGTAGGTGCTAATGTTTTCATGAGTGAGAACAGACAAAAATTTATGTCCTGTCGATTATCTGTTTCAGTGGAGGGATAGAGTCAGATTGACAGGACAGGAAAAAACAAAGATCAAAAGTTGAGCTGGCTGATGATGGTACAGACCCTTGTAATCCTAGGGGGCTAAGGTGGGAGGAGCTCTAGTTTGAGCCAGGGGAAGACCTGTAACAAAAAGAGGGAAAGGGAGAGGGAGAGGAAGATTGGGGAAAAGAAAAACAGGAAAATTCGATTAGCAGGTAAGCCCGGGAGGAGAAGGGACAGCAATATTGGGGTCTATGTAAGGGATTGCACCTGGGTTTTTTTTTTGTCCCTGGTGTTTACTGGGTATGTCCAGTGACTCAGTCAGTGCCTGACCCATAGTGGGAACATAATAAACACTAATCTCAAAGAACCAGCGTGGTTTCCTTAATGTTCTCTTTTTTACTTTCTATTTCATTGGTCCCTTTTTTGACTTTTATTAATTCTTCTCATTATTACTTTGGGTTTAATTTTTGTAATTCCTTTCTATTTCTCCCCCCCCCACTCCAGTTTTTTGGGACAGGGTCTCATGTAGTTCATGCTGGCCTGGAGTTTGCTATATAGCTGAGGATAGTTTTGAATTCCTGATCTTCCTGCCTCCACCTCCCAAGCATGGGATTATAGGCATGCACTACCATGCTCAGCCTCTGTGTGTGTGTGTGTGTGTGTGTGTGTGTGTGTGTGTGTGTGCATATTGAGACCAGAGAACAAATTCAGTGTCATTCCTCAGGCACTCCTTTTTTTAAAAAAGGGAAAGTCTCTCACTGGTCTAGCACTCAGCAAGTAGGCTAGACTGGCTGGCCAGAGAGCCCTGAGGATGTTCTGGCCTTCACTTGCCTATTGCTGGAATTACAAGAGTGTACCACTGCACACAACATTAATAACTAAGCTATCTCTCCAGACCCTTTGAAAAAAAAAAAAAAGCAGGGGCTTACTTTGTAGCCAAGGCTAGCCTTGAATTCTTGATTCTCTGTCCTGGGATTACAGGCATGTGCCACCACACCCAGCTTATGCAGTGTTGGGGATGGACCCCAAGACTTCATGTGTACCAGGCAGGCACTGTACCAACTGAGCTACATCCCCAGCCCATCTTCTTCTTTTCTTTTTAATTAATTAATTAATTGATTTTTGCGTCTTTTTGAGACAGGGTTTCCCTGTAGCCATAGCTGGACTGGAACTCACTATGTAGACCAGGCTGGCCTGGAACTCACAGAAATCTGCCTGCCTCTGCCTCCCAAATGCTGGGATTAAAGGTGTGTGCCACCATGTCTGGCTTATTTTATTATAATTTATGTGTGTGTATGTGTGTGCCATGTGTATGCAAGTGCCCTCAGAGGCCAAAAGGGCATCCTCTGGGGCTGGAGTTACAGGCAGTTATGAACTGCCTGATGCCCACTAGGAACCAAACTCTGGCCCTCTGGAAGAGGAGCACATGCTCTTAACCATTGAGCCATCTCTCCAGCCCTCAGAACATGAGTTCCATCTTCTGTCTGGTGACCTGCTGGGCTCTGCCTGGGCTCCCTGTCTGCATCTGCCATCCCTTGGAAACTTTCAAGACAGTGTGGGCCTCACTTTGTGTCCTCTGTCAGGGATCACTGGGGTTTATGGCATGATAACCAGTGTCCTTTTAAAAATTAGATTAATTAGTTTATTGTGTGTTCATGAAGTGTGTAGCTGCTTGTGTATGTGTGCATAGGTACATGTATGTGTATATGTGTGTGGAGGTCACAGGCCAACCTTAGGTGTTGCTCCTCAGGAGCCATTGAGGCAGGGTCTCTCACTGGCCTGGATTTTACTAAGTATGCCAGCCTGGTTGGCCAGCTAGTTGTGATCACCTATTTCTGCCCCCCAATTCCTGGGGTTACCAGCATGCATAATGCCTGCCTTTTTTTTTTTTTTTTTTTTTCTTTTTTTTTTTTAGACAGGTTTTCCTTTTTAGACAGGATTTCCCTGTAGCCCTAGCTGGCTTGAAACTTGTTAGGTAGACCAGGCTGGCCTTAATCTGCATGCTTCTGCCTCCTCCTCAGTTCTGGGATTAAAGGGATGCATCACTGCACCCAGCATGTCTGGCTTTTTATGTGTATGCTAAGGATTTAAACTCAGGTCCTCATGCTTGCAGAGCAAGAGTTCTTAGCTAGAACTGTCTTCCCAGCCCTCTTTTATTTTTTTGAGACAAGGTCTCATGCAGCCCAAACTGGCTTCAAACCCCTTATGTAGCAGAAGCTGGCCTTAAACTCCTGATCTCCCTGCCCCAATCTTCCAAGTACTTGAATTACAGGCATGGACATCATGGCTACTTCTCCACTGCCTTTAAAGCTGTTATTTTATGCATTGTAGTTTGTCGGACTTGTTGTTCTTCGTGTGGAGGGAAATCTGGTCTGTATTACTTTATTTTAGATAAAGTTGGAAGTGGAAGCCCTACTTTTTTTTTGAGACAGGGTCTCATATTTAACCCTGACAGTCTTGAACTCACTGTGTAGCCTAGTCTGGCCTGGAACTAACAATCCTCCTGCCTCAGCCTCTCAAAGTGCTCAAATTAGAGCTAGCATGCCCAGCTATATTACTTAATAAACACTGATTAAACAAAGTGGCTAACTGGGCCCCTGTTGCATGGGTTTGTAATGAAAGTTACTGGGGAACCTGAGGCAAGAGGATCTTGAGTTCAAGGTCAGCTTAGGCAGTTTATCAAGTCCAGTCTCAAAAAAAAAAAAAAAAAAAAACCAAAAAAAACCCAATCACCCAAACAAAGTTGCTGGTTTAACTCTGACCTCTGGCCCTCCCAGATGCTGAACTGTTTCCTGCTATAGCCATAGTGCATAACACAGTTAGATGCTCTATGTTCCTTGACCTCTGCCTTCTGTCCCCAGGGCCTTGCACTTGGCCGTGATACATCAGCATGAGCCTTTTCTGGATTTCCTCCTGGGCTTCTCTGCGGGCACGGAGTACCTGGACCTACAGAATGACTTGGGCCAAGTGAGCCACTGGGGACTGTCGCTATAGGGAGCTGGGTCTAGAATTGTCAGTGTGACCCTAACCCCTGACCTCTGCCTCTGTAGACAGCCCTGCACCTCGCAGCCATCCTGGGAGAGGCATCCACGGCAGAGAAGTTGTATGCAGCAGGCGCCGGGTTGTTGGTGCCTGAGCGAGGGGGCCACACAGCACTGCACCTGGCTTGCCGCATGCGGGCGCATGCTTGTGCATGCGTGCTTCTCCAGCCCCGTCCCAGGCGCCCAAGGGAAGTCTCAGATACCTACCTCACTCAGAGCACGGACTACAGCCCCGACACCAGCCACACCCCTGTTGCTGTGCATCCCGAATCCAACCCTGAGAAGGAAGAGGAGCCAGATGACAAAGAGTGGCAGCTGCAGCTAGAGGCTGAAAACTATGATGGTGAGATGCCCTGGAACCTGGAGAGGATGCAGGCTTCCTGGCAGGGCCTGTGCACCGGGCTTCCGTCTCCCCTTACCCAAGTCCCAGCTCAATTGGTGGAATGCTCGCATGGCATACGCAAAGCTTTAGGCACTGCATGGACATGGTGGTGCATCCCTGTAATCCCAGTGCTTGGGAGGTAGAAGCAGGAAGATCAGGAATTCAAGGTCATCCTGGTGCTAGGTAGGTAGTTCCCATCAGTCTGGGCTACAGGATACCTACCCTGTCTCAAGCAAACAAAGGAATGCCTAGCCCCATCTCAAGGCATGTCAGTATGTACCTGTAATCCCAGCACTTGGGAGGCAGAGGCAGGAAGAGTATGAGTACATAGAGATACTCTGTCTCACAAAAACCAAAAGCAAAACTAACTGGTGGGAAGTCATCCCCAGGTTTTAGGAAGCCTGGTATCAGAACTAAGGACCCTCACTTAGGCTCAGAATCATTAAAAATTAGATGGGCTAGAGAGATGGCTCAGCAGTTAAGAGCACTGGCTGCTCTTGCAGAGGACCCAGGTTCAATTCCTCGTACCCACATGGCAGCTAATAACCATCTGTAGCTCCAGTTCCAGAAGATCCAGTGCCCTCTTCTGACCTCCATGGGCATTGCATGACATGGGTGTACTTAACATACATACAGGCAAAACACTCATACACATTAAAAAAAAAAAAATTGGACACAGAGTAACCCCTATCTGGTCACCCCAGACCACTTGCCACCCAGGCCTGCCACCCACTGACCCGAAGGTGTTAGGATCCTGTAATTTCCACACCACCCCCTACAAGCCACTGGCCCAGCCCACCCAGGGTGAGGGTTATCAGCCTCCAGGTACCTGGAACTAAATGTCAGCTTAAATGTACTAAGGTCATTTAGGAACCACTGTTCAAAGCCCCAGGCCCTTTGTGGGTTGTTTGTTTGTTTTGTTTTATGTTTGGTGCTGGCTATGGAACCCAGGGCCTGTGCTTGCAGGTCAAGCATTGTGTCACTGAGCTATATCCCAGCTGCCTTTTCCTTTATGAAGATTCAGACTTGGGTCTCTTTTTTTTTTGAAACAGGGTCTCCCTGTAGCCCCAGCTGTCCTGGAACTCACTATGTAGACCAGGCTGGCCTTGAACTCACAGAGATCCGCCTGCCTTTGCCTCCCGAGTGCTGGGATTAAAGGTGTGTGCCACAACGCCCAGCCACCAGACGTGGGTGTCTTGATCCAAAGATTCATTGTTCCCAACCAAAGTCCCCATGCTCAGGGGCTGGAGAGATGGCTCAGTGGTTAAGAGCATTGGCTGCTCTTGCAGAGGATCTGGTTTCCATTCCCAGCACCCACATGGTGCTCACAACCTTCTGAACTCCAGTTTCAGGGGACCTGATGCCCTCTTCTAGCCTCCTTGGACATTGCATAACATGGGTGTACTCATATACATGCAGACAAAACACATTAAAAAAAAAAACACCCACTCCCAAACACTAAAGCCCCCAGGCTTATCCCCTATAAACCCCATACACCCCACCACTGAGGCATGTGCCACCAATATGCTCTGACACCTCAGACTTAGGCACCTGGGTGGGATTCAGGGACCCGTTTACATATCTTGGAAGAAGTTCAAAAGCTATACCCCCAAACCTGTTCACCTTCACTTCACATGGCCCTCCCCTAGGATCATGACCTTGGGAGCCAAGGCCCCTCAACTCATTAACACTGGTCCCTTGGTCCCCAGGCCACACCCCACTCCATGTAGCTGTCATCCACAAAGATGCAGAGATGGTCCGGCTGCTCCAGGATGCTGGAGCTGACCTAAACAAACCGGTGAGCCATTTTAGTGGGCTGATGTTGGGGGAGAGATTGTCTCCACTTCAGGCCCACTTGCTGATCTCTCTGACACACCCTTAGGAGCCCACATGTGGACGGACTCCCCTGCACCTAGCAGTGGAAGCTCAGGCGGCCAGCGTGCTGGAGCTTCTCCTGAGAGCAGGTGCCGACCCCACCGCCCGTATGTATGGGGGCCGCACCCCACTTGGCAGCGCCCTGCTCCGGCCCAACCCCATCCTTGCCCGCCTCCTTCGTGCACATGGTGCCCCTGAGCCTGAGGACGAGGATGACAAGCTTGGTTCTTGCAGCAGCCACAGCAGCAGTGGCAGTGACAGCGACAGTGACTGTGACAGCAGGGATGAGGGAGTGAGTAAAAAGTGGGTAGCCCAGTGGGGGATCAGGCTAGACCATCAAGAAGAAGACCTGGGGTGTCTGGCTTGTGTTAGGGAACTTGGGTGGGGTTGCAAGGGTTGTGATAGTCAGACATTTGGGCAAGGGAGTGGAAAGATCTCTGGCAAGATGGTTGTAAAACTAAAACTAAGGCAAAGTAGCTCACGGCTGTAATCTCAGCCCTTTGAGATGGGAGTTTGAGGTCAATCTGGGTTATATCTCTTTCTCTCTCTATAGATAGATAGATAGATAGATAGATAGATAGATAGATAGATAGATAGATAGATAGATAGATATAGAGAGATAGAGATCTATAGATAGATAGATAGATAGATAGATAGATTCTCTCTCTCTCTCTCTCTCTCTCTCTCTCTATATATATATATATATATAATCTGCGACTGGCATTGAACCCAGGACTTTATGCATTCTGGGCAAGTCCTCTACCATTGAGCTATATCCCAGCCCTAGCCTGGTTACATAGTGAAACCCTGTCACAAAATTTAAAAAGAAAAAGCAGGGGCTGGAGAGCTAGCTCAGTGGTTAAGAGCACTGGGTGCTCTTACAGAGGATCCAGATTCAAATCCCAGCATGGTGACTAACAACTGTCCGAAACTCCAGTTCCAAGGGGATGGGATGCCCTCCTCCACCTCAGACACTGCATGACGTGGGAGCACTTGCATACAGGCAGGCAATATACTCATAAAAGTAAAATAATAAACTATTTAAAAAGAAAGAAGCAGCAAAGTGTAGAACAAAGGTGGTATCAAACTTATGCAGTGAAGGCCTCAGCATGGGGAGTGACCTCAGGAGCAGGAACTGGAGAACTTGGGCTGTAAGCAGGTAACCTTGGTTAGTGTGGTTGGAACAGTGGCAGTGGTGGGGAAAGACCTTAGCCAGGAGAGCTTTACTGTAGAGCTTTAGGCAACACCACACTTCCTGGGCAGAGGATGGTGTGCAATGGTGGGAGATGGTAGGGGTGGGGCGAATTTGGGTGAAGGCAAACGGGAGGATGAATGAGAGCCATTTTTGGTGCTGTAGAACTGGAACACAGGCTTCAAGGTGAGACCCCATTCATAGGTGTCAGGACCTGGATGGAGGGTAAGGGGGCAGCCACTTGAACCCCTGTTATCCCTCTTTGTCCCCAGGAGGAATACGATGACATCGTGGTCCACAGTGGCAGGAGCCAAAACCGGCTACCTCCCTTGCAGGCATCCAAACCTCTTCCTGATGACCCTGACCCCGCCTGACTTAAATGCTCATAGTAATATAATTTCAATTTAATAAATTTTCAGTTTTGACAACCAGAGCCCAGACTGATGTTGCCTTCCAGCTCATTCCCCACCCCACCCCTCCAAGGCCAAGTGTGAGCCAGGGTTGTTTTCTTTGCACTTTATTCACTCAGGGATGCTTCCAAGGCACATCGGTGCTTCCAAGTCCCTGCCAGTTGGGGTTGGAAGCAGGGTGCCAGGTGAAGTAGGGGCTCTGGGGTCAACAGTCCTGAGCTTTAGGGTAGGTTGGACAGGAGGCAGCTGGGGGTGGGGTCAGCCTTCCCTCCCAAGCGCCTCCCCCAGCATGGCTGTGGCCTTCTTGAGCTGGTCTTGCATGCGCTCCAATCGCTCCACGTCGTGTTCCTGGGGGGAATCAGAAGCAGACAGTCAGCACCTCTGCTACCACCATGAATGTCAGCCCTGTCACCTCACACACAGGCAGCCAGCAGCCCCTCCCCAACTGTCTGCCACCACGGTTGGTTATGACCACCATCTTGAGTACCACAACCTGTTTGGCGTGCCCACTTGACTTGCAGTGAGGTCCACATTGCTGGCCACAGCCAATGCAGTAGCCACAGAACTAGCAAAGGCAGCCCACTTGGGTGACTTTGTAGCCTGGCCTGGAACTCTGACTATGAGGATCTTGAACTGCTGATCTCCTGCCTCCACTGCTTGAGTGCTGGGATTACAGATGTGTGTCAGCACACCAAGTTTATGCAGTACTGGGGAGTGAACCCAGGGCCTTTGCATGGTAGGCCTGTGCTCTATGTCCCTAGCTCCGGGTGACCTATCTGTGATAAGTTGGTTATTTTGGTTGCTGCCCCCAGTTGGTCATTAAAATAAATTTTTTTATGATTTATTCTTATTTTATGTATAGGAATGTTTTGCCCGCATGTATATAAGTGCACCTCATGTATGCAGTGCCTACAGAGGCTAAAGAGGGCATCAGAGCCCCTGGAACTGGAGTTATAGTTATAAATCACCATGTGGGTGCTAGGAACTGCACCTAGGTTCATGAGATTGGTTTCCCATCTCAGAGATCCACCTGCCTCTGCCTCATGAGTCCTGGGACTAAAGGTGTACGCCACCACACCCTGAATTTATTTATAGTGTGTGCATGTACCATGGTGAGTACGTGGAGGTCAGAAAACAATTTGAAGGAATCTGTTCTTGCCTTCCACCTTGCCAGGCTTAGCAGCAAGCACTTTTGTCCACCGAGCCATCTTGCCAGCCTGTAGTGATATATTTAACTTTGCATGATCCCTTCATGATGTCCATCTCTAGCCTAGCAAACCAGGACAATAGCTATTCCAGTGGCTGACATGTTTAATATGAACTGGCCCTGGTTACCTTTGTTGTATTTGGGTAATTACTAGTGCCTTCCTTTACTAATCCCAGGTGGAAGCCTTCATGTCAAGCAGAGGCCTTGCTTGGATGTTGCCACCTAGTCCTGGTGTCATAGTTGATGACTCTGGACTCTGGCCCATTTCATGGTGGAAGTGATTCCCTTTGGTGACCTACTCCACTGCCTTGGAGTGCCACCTTCACTCACCTCCTGCTCCGAAGCCTCTTCCTCCTCTGCTTCCTCTTTCTCCTTTGCCTCTGTGTCTGGCTGCTCCTTCTGGTGCTGATGGTGTGCAGACTCTCCATGCTTCTCCCGTCCAACCCTCTCAGCCCCCTTCCACAGACTGTGGCCCCTGCCCAGCAACTGCATTCCCTTATCCTCTGCCTCGAACTGTGCTGTCTCCTCATCACTGGCTGCCTCAGCCACCCGCTTCTGGGGACCCCTGGCTCTCTCTAGATGGTCCTTCCACAGATGCTCAAAGGTTTCCACTGGCCGGCTCTCCTCCTCTTCCTGGTGGAGCCGGCTGTGGAGCTGTGTGTGGACATCCTGTTCTCGTACCTGGGTTCTCTCTGCTGCCTCTTCCTCTTCTTCATCCCTTATCTCCTGGCTGGACCTCATCTTTCCAACCTCCTGCTTCTTGAAGTCCCCACCTAGCAACCCCTTCTCAGGGGACATGCAGCCATGGTGCTCTGTCTCGAACATCTCTGGCAGGGAGAGATGAGATACTCTGTACATCCAACTTGGAAACTGAGGAGCTGATGAGTTCTGGGTCCTCCCTGATGTTATGACATGGACTGCCTGGCATTTGGAGAAGTCCACCATGGGCTGCAGATGTTCCCTGCCCCAGTCCCCATCCCTCTGCAGGGAGCATCAAGGTGGCCAGGCTGTCAGGTGGGAGGCTAGGCACTACCACACTAACTTGGGCCAGGGGATGAAAGGTACCTTATTCCTCCAGGCACTGTGAACCATCAGGAGGGCAGAGGAGGCCCTCAGGAATTAGGGGGGAACTGGGGCATCCCTACCTTTGTGGAGCAGAGCCATGCAGGGGCCTCTCTGGGCCTGGCCCAGTGTCAGCACCTCCGTGACCACCTCTGCCAGACATCGAGTCAGCTGGGAGCAGGGATGAAGGGTCAGAGGAGAGGTGGAGGGCAGGGGAGCTGGGAGAAAAGAGGGGCTGCAGGATCTGAAGGGGTGGAGATGGTGGAAGAAGCTGGGGAGAGGGGAACCAGGAGTGAGGAAGGTAAGGAAGGGCTCCCCTCTTACCTCCTCCTTGGAGGGTCTGGGCGCCAGGGGAGAAGCAGAGGCTGTGGAGGGAGGAGACGGGTGTTGTTGGAGGTACTGATCCCAGCTCCCAGGACAGCCCAGCCCCTCCGCAGCGCACCTGCCAGGGGTGCTGTCCCCATCCCATCAGGGGTACCACCCCTGCCTTGCCCTCTATGAGCTCCAGACTCACCGGCCCCCAGCAGCAGCGCCAGCAGCGGGAGCAGTGCCTGTGAGACAGGTGCACGGCGTGGCATCTTGGTGTGTTCGGACCCAGGTCCTCCGCTGAGCAGCCAGCGGTGCCAGCGCTTTTTAATTCAGGTGCGGTGGGCCCGCAGGGGGAGGAAATGACGTCACCGACACCCCCTCCCCAGCCCACGCTCACGGAGAGGCGACAGCTGGCAGGGCACTCCAAGACCCTCAATTATTCATGGAGACCCACACCCAAGTATGGGTCCCTCCAGCTCCGCTCTGGCTCAGGAGTTCCGACTGCCTCTCCCCAGAGGCTCTTATCTGAGAAGACCTGGGCGGGGGCAGGTCTCCTCGAGCTGTTTCCTCATCTGGAAGTCTTCTAAATCCACTTCCCCAGGGGTGGGAGTGACATGCTAGCCAAGCTCCACTATTCACCAAGACAGTTGCTTAAGATGTGTTCCCACATGTAGAAATTTTGGATGCAACTCACTCCAGGGATTTGGAATGAAGATGAAATAGAGCTTGGGCAGTGCTGAGCACTGGGAACTGTACAGGGCTGCAGCCAATCCTCCACCTGAGGTGTGTGTGTTGGGGGGGGGTGTTATGTGTGGGTCAGGTGTCCTCTGCTGCCCCACCCAATTTTTGAGACAGGGTCTCTCACTGAGTCTGCAGCTCCCCTCCTAGATGCATTGGTCAGCAAGCCCCTGGGACCCACTGTCTCTGTCCCTCTCAGGGCTTGGGTTACAGGGCCCAACTTTTATGTGGGATTTGAACTCGTTTTCATACTAGCATAGAAAGCACTTCATTCACTAAGCCAAGTCCCTAGCCCAAGTAGCTTTTTGTTTTGTTTTTTAAGACAGGGTCCCCTATGTAGCACTGGCTGGCTTAGACTTCACTATGTGGATCAAGCAGGCCTCGAACTCAGAGATCCATTTATCTGCCTCTGCCTCCTGAGTGTTGGGATTAAAGGCAGGTGCCACCAAGCCCAGGTTTTTTTTTTTTTTTTTTTTTTTTTTTTTAAATGCAGTGTTTCTCTACATAGCCCTGGCTGTCCTGGAACTTGCTGTGTAGACCAGGCTGGTCAGGAACTCCTAGAAGTCAGAAGTCAGTCTGCCGCTGAGTGCTGGGGAGTAAAGACATGTACCACCACACCACAGCCAGCTGGCCTTTAACCTTGATCCTCACACTTCTGATTTCCTCATGCCGGACCACAGATGTATGCCACCATACCTGGCTCCAGTCACTTGTTTTTATATTACGGCAGAACTTCAGGTACCTGAGGCTGGCCTGTAACTGACGCTGAGGACGACCTTGAACTTTTGATCCTCCTACCTTTACTTCCTCTCTGCTGGGCTCATAGGCATATATCAACATGACTAATTTATTATGTGCTAGAGATCCAACCCAGGGGTTTGTGTATGTTAGGCAAGCACTCTAACAGCCGTAGAAATGACTTACAAAATGGACATAATTCGGACTGTCTTTTAATTAACCTTTACAAACTCAGTGAACCTTGAGTCTTGTGATTGGCATTTCCTTGGCAAACTCAATTTGGTACTCTACCATGAAAGATAATGAATGTGGTATACTTGAGAATTAACATATCGAAGTGCTGAAATCTAGTACACCCAACTCCATTGCTCACGGTGAGGACTGGGAAGGACACTCAGCCTTGGGTGAATGAAATATTCTAGAACTAGGGAAGAAAAGGCAAAATGGTCTATTAAGATAAGGGTGGAGCCAAACTTGTACTTCTGAAATGGAGCAGGAAAAACAGATTGGAATGAAAACATGAGTGGGCCTGACTCCTGAGCAGTTCTAGTAGACTGACATTCTAAGAGATATCTAGGAGAACGAGTGTCCTGTATCCTCCATCCTCTGAGTTCCAGCCCACTCTTGGTGTTTTTGAGACAGGTCTCTCTGTAGCTCCAGCTGGGCCCTGAGATTAAAGGCATGTGCTACCATGCATGGCTTCTAGCCCACTTTTTTTTTCTTTAATTATGAGACGTTTAAAAATTTTTTTTTATTATTCTTATGAGTATATTGCCTGCATGTATGTGAATGCACCTGTGTCTTGCAATCCTCAGAGGTCAGGAGAGGGTTTTGGATTCCCCTGCAACTGGAGTTAAGGACAATTCATAGCCGTCAAGTGGGTGCTGGGAATCAAACCCGGATCGTCTGCAAGAGCAGTCAGTGCTCTTAACTGTTGAGCCATGTCTCCAGACCACCAGCCCACTTTTAAAAACTAAATTTAAGCTGGGCGTGGTGGCGCATGCCTTTAGTCCCAGCTCTAGGGAGGTAGAGGCAGGCGGATCTCTGAGTTCGAGGCCAGCCTGGTCTACATAGTGAGTTCCAGGCCAGCTGGTGCTTCAGGGAGATCCTGTCTCAAATAAAGGCAAACAAACAAACAAACAAAAAACCCTAAATTTAAGAGTCAGGCTTCTTTGTTCAGGTGACTGTTATGTTGGTGTAGTAACACTGCATCAAGCTACGTCCCAGCCCCTCTAGTAACTTACTATCTTCCCACTCCTCCCCTTTGACATGGGGCTACAGTGAAAAAAACTGGTGAACATCCCAGGCCTCCTGGAGGGGACATTTGAGAAGATGGGACAGACAACAATCACGAAGCACGTTATGTAGAGAAAATGACAGCAGTGAATCTGATAGTGGTGGACTGGGGCGTCCCTGTCCTTATGGCTCCCTCTCAGCATAAAGGACAGGCATAAGGAGGGCCCTTGGCAGAGGAAGGGTCCATCCCAACACGTGTTGACAGGGAGCAGAGACAGAGAAATGCCCGTGCTAACCAATGGGGGAAGCCATAGGAAAAGGGCGAGGGAGGAGAGGGTGACTGGAAGACCCCGAAACATCTGAAGGTGAGGCAGCAAGCAGGTTTCTGAAGGCATCGGAGGTGGAAAAAACACAGGACAATCTGAAGGGCGGTGGGCAAGCTCAAGGTGGGAGGCAAAATCTGGGAGGGGCTAGGTAGATGAAGGATGTGGGGTGAGCGTAGGTGAAGGAGGTAGGGTAGGTAAGCATGGGCAAAGGGTCCCCCCACCCCAAGATCATCTTTAACTTCCTACAGTTTGAGATGCTTTGGACAGCACCTGGAGCTGGTAACCAGCCAAGGCTAAGGCTGAAGCTGAGTCAGTTTGAGGGAGCCATTGGAGGGTGATGGCCTGTCTTGTCTCAGGGAAAAGGAGAATTTGGCATCATTTCAGCTCCCTTGGGATCCCCGAGCCACACTGCATGGACCCTGGAGCACCAGAGCGGTCACCTCCCTCGAGCACAGATCCAGTAGACTTTGATCATTTATTGAGGGCCTTCTGGTCAGCACTGAAGGAGAGGGATCAGGAAGGAGGGGTGGAGTTCTGAGTCTCTCCCCAAGTGTCCTGCTTTCTACTCCAGACTGGGCCAAGCCTTCTGTTGACAATCCCAATGACAGTAGGAGTCACTGACTGATTCTGAGGTAGCAGGAATGGAGAGGTGGACCCAGGTGAGGAGCTGACAAGAATGCAGACACACAATGGGATGGCTCCAGGAAAAAGGTTCTAAGTGTCTGGGGTCTCTAAAGTTCCAGGCAGTAGTAAGCAGTTGCTGGCTGAGCGGATGGTTGTTAGCTGGCAGCTGGCTGACTGGGGAGCTTGGGTTTCTGGGGCTGGTTGGGGCCGATGTACTGGAGAGGCACGTGAGTAGGGGCTGTGATCCGGTCAGTGTCCAAGTAGGGCTGAAGGGCATCAGGCACGAGAACTGAACCATCCTAGGGATAGAGCAGGTATCAGGGTGCTGCTGTACTCCAGGCTCTGCCCCCAGCTGCCTTGCTGGGAGCCTTGGCTCCTTACTGGGGGATTCTAGAGGCAGGTGTTCTACCACTGAGCAACACCACCAGACCCTCACTGGGGGATTCTAGGCAAACTTTCTACTCCTGAGCCATGTCCCAACTACTCACTGGTAGATCTAAGCACCACTGATCTACTGCCCCCAGTCCTCTTTTTGACTTTTTCAGACAGGTTTTACCAAGTTGCTGGGCAAGCCTTGAACTTCCAATCCTCCTGCTGTAGTCACTCACCTTTTGCTGATTGCTCTCCAGGAGGGCGATGAGGAGGCGAGGGACAGCACAGGCTGTCGCATTTACCTAGGGGAAGGACATGCTCAGGGCCAGGCTCTGACTTTGCCCTAGCCTTGGGAAGGAGACGATGTGCTGCAGGGGTGGGGCAGGCAGAACAAGGTGTGGGCCTCACCGTGTGGGCAAATTGCAGCTCCCCGGCCTCAGTCTCTAACATGATATGCAACCTACGGCTCTGGAAGTCTGTGCAATTGGAGGCACTGGTAACCTGGGATAGGGATCATTGAGAGGCTCAGTCTTGAGGGACAGGCCCATCTTCCAGTGTCCGACCTTACATCCCCAGTGGGGTAGGGCTCACCTCTCCATAGCGGTGACGGCCAGGCATCCAGGCTTCAATGTCAAACTTTCGGTAGGCAGGAAGACCCAGTTCTTGGGTGGGCATGTCCAGCACCCTGAGGCCAAGGTCAAAAGTAAGGAGAAGGTCATTAGGTGAGAGATGAAGGATGTAAAGGAGGTGGTGGAAGAGGGGGAAGTAGAAGCCATGAAAGGGGACAAGAGAGCAGCAGCCATCTAGTCTGCTCACTGCTGCCATACTCTGTCTAGACCACCACCTCTGGTTTTGAGTTACCTCCATTTAGCTTTTTCTTTTGGTATGTTTTTTGAGATAGGGTCTTATGTAGCAGGCTGTCCTAGAAACTCACTATATATCATCTGGGAGATATATCATCTGGGAGAAAAGGCTGCCTTCCTCAGTCACAGCCCTCTGAGAAGCTCTGTACTCTACAGGGTGAGCGGGCCTCGTGGTATCTGGGCCTCCTGTCCCACCTCTACTTCACCCTGGAGGGTGATGAGGTTTCCTGGGCCTCATTCTAGGGATGGAAAGCCATCTCAAGGGGCAAAAGCTCCTTCCCCCAGAGCAGCCTGTCACAATTCTGTAAAGCATTGACAGTACAGTCAGATGGTCCTCTGTCTAGTCCTGCAGGCCTCATATAGGACACAGGAGGCAAAGGATCAAGTGGGGGGCCAGCACAGCCCAGTCTACCCTCTCCCTTGACCCTCTTTCCACCACCCGTCAGCCCTGCCCATCTCTGTACCGGAAGTGCAAACCCAGCTCAGTCAGGATCTCCACCTGCAGGGACAGGAACTCATCCAGGAGCTTTGAGCTCTGCTCCAGTCCTGGGGCTGTCACCCCAAACATCTCCACCTGACACAGGGCAGGGACAAGGATCAGGACTGGGTGGTGGGGGTGGCCTCTGCACTGCCAACCGGGCCTATGCCACTCACCTTGGTGAAGTGGTGTACTCGGTACAGGCCCCACGGCTCCTTTGCAGTGTCGGTCTCAGCCCGGTAGCAGGTACTGGCACAGACCATCCTAGTGGGAACATGTGAGGGAGTGTCAGGGAGGCAGAAGGCATCACCAGTGGGGACTAGGTCTAAAGAAATGGGCTATCACCTGACTGGCAGGTCCCTGAATGCCACGGAGTGGTCCATGAAGTATCCTGAGAGGAGAGAGGGGCAGGAGGGAGTCAGTCAGGGCCCCCATCAGCCATAAGAAGCCATGGTAAGATGCAGCATATAACCCCATGTCAGGGCACACAGCTAGTCTGTGTACTGCTGTGAAGTGGACAACCTACACAACTATCTGTGTCAGCCATGGATCGATATGTCCCCCACAGGGAGCCGCCCCAATGCTTCTGGTTGTGCCCCATAACCTAGGCAGGTACCCACCTGCAAGCCCGACCTCTGCTGTCCCAGCCAGGTTGAGGTCTTCGAAGCGGGAAGGGTCGATGTTGTAAATTTGGGAGGGGTTGGCGTTTGGAGTCATTCCACAGCCTTCCTGGGGGGGAGGGCCTTAGGGGTCAGGTGACAGGTAACCTTGGCCTCTCTCAAGCTGCAGTCTCCACCCTATCTCCTCCACTGGAAACATCTGGAAATGTCCCTCTTCCCCCAGGTTCTGGCTTGACCCCCATGACTAGTCCAGGCCAGTCTCCTCAAGGAGACAAGCTGGTCCCCATCTTGTGCCCCCAGGAAAAGGCTAACCCTCAGGGCCTCACTCACAAACACAGCTCCTCGAAGAAGGTCTGGCACCGTCATGGGAGTGAAGCCCTGTCGGGGAGGAGAGGAGATAAGTTAGGAGCACGGGGGGAACCAGCTACCAGACCCAAAATCACGCCTGAGGAGGACCAGGACAGAGGGAGATGGTGGCCACTGCACAGTCCACTCCCCCACCCCACCCCCAGCAGAGGAACTGAGTGAGGCCTGACCCCTGGGGTCCAGTCACTGGGGTCCTCCTGCTGCATGCACCCTGCTTTTCCCACTTCATTCCACAGGCAGGTGGAGGCACCACTCCAAAGTACAGATCTAATGTGTCCCTCTCCTGCTCAAAGCCTCCCATGGCTCCCTAGTTCCCTCAGCAAACATGAGACTTCCCCACCATGGCCAGCAACTCATGTTATCAGCCTGTGGATTCCTTTTCTCAGTATACTGTGCTCCCCCCAAAAGCCCCCACAACAGTGAACTACACTGCAGCAGGAATCACCCCCCAACACTACAGCAAGAGTGAAGGTCGCTCTTGTCTCTAGGCTTCAATCGTCCCAACTCAAAAGAGGGTGTAATAGCAACCACCTAGCCAAGTGAAGCTGTCATAAGAATTAAAGTGTTGCTGGGCGTGGTGTCGGATGCCTTGAGTCCCAGTACTCAGAAGGCAGAGGCAGGATATCTGTGAATTCCAAGTCAGCCTGGTCTACATAGTGAGTTCCAGGTCAGCTAGGCTACAGGGAGACCCTGTCTCAAAAAAAGACCAAAGGAAAAAAAAAAAGAATTGATGATACATGAGGCACATGTGTGTGCCACCACACTGCTGTGTGTGTATGTGTGTGTGTGTGTGTGTGTTTGTGTGTGTTCCTGGGGATGGAAACCAGGGCCTTGTGCCTGCCAGGCAAGTGCTCTACCAGCACACTGAGCTACATCCCCAGCCCCGCCTTGGCCACCCTTGATCCCTCTAAGTTTGGTGCCAATGCCACCCCCTCTAGGAAGCCCTCAAGGTGGCCCATACCCGGCGGACAAGCTTGTTGAGAGTGAAGCTGACCAGGCCATGCTGCAGGAGGGCCCCAGCCCCTCGAAGGTAATAGGACCGGTGACCAGACACATGGGACAGGCGCCTAGAGACAGATGGGTAGACAGACCAGCAGTACTTATGGGCCAGGAAGGGTGGGGGAAGAGGAAACTCGAGCCCCCGCGGAAAGAGGCCCAGCTGTCAGGCGGGCCTAGCATCAAATATTCATGCTGGGTGGGTCTAGCCCTGGCATTTCCACTTTGCCCGCCGACGCCAAAAGGCAGGATCTGGCTGCCAGCTGTCAGGGTGGGGACAATGAGGTGGGAAGGGGGTGGAGCTCACTTCTGCCTGATGATGTCCAGTTTCTCGCCGATTTCCAGGTGGCCCCGGGGTTGGAAGGAGAAAGCTGGTTGTGGGTGAAAGGCAATGGGGTAAGAGGGGAAGAAAGAGACAAAGAACAGAGAGAGAGAGAGAGAGAGAGAAACAGGAGGTAGACAGACAGGAAGGGACTGGAAGGAAAAGCCCAAGAGAGCAAGGAACCAAAGCAAAATGGGGAAAAGCTAGACAGACATGCACAGGCTTGTACCCACCCCAGGGTGAGCTGTCCAGTGAGGGAGGTCAAGGGCATGAGACTCAGACCAGCTCAAGCCTGGCTGGGCTGTTCCAACTGAGCCCCCAGAGCCCTCTCTTGGCCTGAGACCACCCTCGCCCCACCTCCAGCTTCCAGCCTTATCTCTGTGGCTCACCTGGCTTGTCTCCCACCACACGCAGTACTCTGGCTTGGCTCTCATCCCCAGCAGGCTGCAGGGAGAGGGGAGTGTCATGGGAAAGGAGGCCCCACTGGATGCCCTGTCTCCCTCACAGTTCTCACGGCCCTTACTGAGTCTGGGTGGGTCTGGTTGGGCAGCCTCAGTGCCTGAAGGTAGAACTGCTCTTCCAGCTGGGTCTCTCTGGGGTAGAGGGGCATGAGCTGCTTCCGGATCTCCCGGCCTCGGGTCCGCAGGCCCTGATATTGGGGGTTCTGGACAGAGCAAAAAGGGTCAGCCCTGGGAAGGGTCAGGGATCCCTCAACCAGCCCTACTCATCCTCGCTGGCAGAACCCCATGTGGACACATGCTGCCTCTTTCCATCCAACAACCGGTTTCTTCTCAGGGGCCTCTCACCACAACATGGCAGTTCAGTTCATGGGAACAAAGCTCAGACCCAACCAACCGGAACTTTCTAGTGCCTTGGCCATGGCTAATGGCTCAGACAGGAGCAAAGCTGAACGTGTGGTAATCAGTCTCAAAATTCTAAATGGAGCTATCAGAAAGGTGTGCCTTCAACAAAGGGGTGTGGGTGTGGGGGTCGGGGAAGTTGGGTTCAGAATAAACCTACTATGGAGCCAGGAGCTGGATCCAACTGCACCTGAAGCCAGATTTTTATTTTTACAAACTGACAGAGGTTGAGGTTTGTTTTCTGAAGGCAGGTTCTCACTATGTAGACCAGGCTGGCCTTGATCTCAGAGATCCACATGCTTCTACCTCTGTGCTGGGTTTAAAGGCGTGTCCCAACCATACCTGGCCTCCATTCTTTAATCTTACCTCCTCAAACTGAGTTACGCTTTCTATCACTACAGTAGAACTGTGGCTGGCGGGGTGCCCTCCCTGCCCTCCCTGTACAGGGACCAGACATCACTGGAGTACCTTCTGTATTTCATCCTTGTCTTGGTTGGCCTGGGGGAGAAGAGGAAGGAGAGAGTGATTACCGGGATGAGCTTGGGGCTGGTGAAGAGAAAGGGCAGGCAAACGCTCAAACGGGACCGGGACACCTGAAGCTCCTGCTCTCAGTGCCTGGCTGGGTCTTTCCACCACTCTGTGCCTCAGTTTTTCTGCTGGTAACACCAGGAGGCAGGCAAGCTAAGGACACCTATAGTTGTGAATACAATGCCACCTCTAAGTGGGATCTGTGGGGGAAGATGAGGATTCTTATATGATTATACTTAATTTTTAAAATTTTTGTTTTTTTATGTTTATTTATTTTGCAGCACTAGGGTTTGAACCTGGAGCCTTGTGGATGGTAGGCACCACTCTACCAAATGAGCTACCAGCCTTACTGTTTTATTTTCATTTCTGTGTATGTGTGTGAGTGTTTACCTTACGTGTTGGAGTGCCTACAGAGGCCAGAAGAGGGTACTGGATCCCCTGGAGGTAGAGTTACAGGTGGTTGTGAGCTGCTCAACTTACATGCTGGGAACTGGACTCAGGTCCTCTGGAAGAGCAACAAGTGCTTTTAACTGCTAGCCCTCTTACTATTTTTTGACACAGGGGCTTCCCTGTGGCCCAGGCTGGTCTGAGATTTGAAATCCCTTAGTCTCAGGTCCCAAGTAGTAGGGTCACAGGTGTGACCCTATCACACCTATCACACCTGGCTAAACGAGATTTAAAAAAAAAAAATTGTGGGGATTTAAACGATTTTATTTATGTGTATGTGTGCATAGGTATGTACATGCAGGTGCCCTGGATACCAGAAGAGGGGATTGGATCTCCTGGAGCTGGAGTTATAAGGGATTGTGAGATGCCAGATGTGGGTACTGGGAATGAAACTCTGGTCCTCTGAAAGAACTTTTAACTGCTGAGCCATCCTCAGCCCAAAGTCTGTTTTGTTTTGAATGAGTTTTGGGGAGCTGGCCTGGAATTAGACACCTAGCTAAGGATGACCCTGAACTCTTGATCCTCCTGCCCCAGCTGCTAGGTGCTGGGATTACAGTGATGTGCGACTGTGCTCCTATGATTGTTCTTGAGAGCCATGTGGCAGGTACTATTGGTTGTCTAACTTCCAGCTTTGAAAATGGTCGATTGTGACCCTGTATGGGGTGCTGTGATTGAATATGGGGGTTGTGCAAAATTTGGCAACAGTATAGATTCCTGAATACACACATACCAGAAATGAATTACAAATCAAACATATAATAAAGCTGAGCTGTCCCTGGCCAAAAGGAGCTGGAGTTGGTAAGTGAAAAAAGTTTAAGAAGGCCTGGTGTAACCCAGGCTTCCTCCTCTCCTGCCCACAGAACTGATAGTTTGCCCTTGGCAAGCAGCTTTCATTTAGGGAAGGTGAACACCCTGGAGGCTGGCGCTGCCAACAGTGACTTTATCTGTCTTGCTGATGACTGGTGTGGGGTAGGTGAGTGAGCCCTGGAGAAATGAGGGTCTACTTAGGGAATGGTCTCTTTGCTCCTGGAAAAGCCATTGAGGCAGAGAAACCCACTTTTTGCCTCCATCACTGTGGCAGCCATCCCATAACTGGGATGGGGAAACAGCTCAGATTTATGCATTGCACAGACAGAGGAAAAGAATCTGTTTGGAGATGCTGGGGAGAGCTGCTAATTAATTAGTCCTATCAATACCAGGACTGGATGGTTTGTTTGTGAAGTAACTGTCTACATGCTTCAAGCCCCTTCAATTTGGTCTCCTATTTTCCAGAGGCACCCCTGCTGTCCCTCCCATCCCCCATGCTCACCATCAGGGCCCGCACGGCCTCTGTCACAACCTCCTTCTCAGCCTCCAGGCTCCGGATTTGCTCCCGAAGATGCTTCAATTCCTTCCACGTAGAGATCTGGATGGGGGACAGAGGCATCAAAGGAAGAAGTGAAGCAGCCTCGCTCACAGGCTACCTGCACTGCAGCGGTTCAGGCTCAGTCTCCTCAGTGCTGCCAAAGCCACTCTCCCTTCATCTCTTCATCTACAACTCCCAGAGGCTCAGGTGGGTACACAGCTGTCCTGAACCAAGGCACTGCCCAGCTTCCTTTGCAGCTGCTTCTGTTGACCTGATCAAGACCAACCAAGGGTGCTGGAGAGATGGCTCAGCAGCTCAGAGCATTTGCTGCTCTTGCAGAGGACTCAGGTTCAGTTCCCAGCACCCACATCAGGTGGCTCACAACTGCCTGAAACTCCAGCTCCAGGGGATGACACCCTCTTCTGGCCTCTTCAGGCACCAGGCACGCAGGTGTGCATGTCTACACACACACACACACACACACAACCAACCAAAGGACCTCTGTAGAAGTGAAGCACACTACAAGTGTGACTTCTGGGTGAATTTTCATTTGCTTGTTTCCTTAGGTAGTTAGTAGTCCAGGCTGACCTCGTTACCTGTAATTTTCTGGCCTTTCTTAGTGCTGGGACTATGAGCATGCACTAGCACACCTGGATGAGTCACCTCTTTAAAGAGAACAAAATTTTCTTTATTCTTCCTTATTTATTTATTTAGGTTTTTTTTTTTTTTTTAAAGACAGGGTCTCTATGTAGCTTTGGCTGGCCTGGAACTCACTATACAGACCAGGCTGGTCTTGAACTCACAAAGATCCACCTGCCTCTGCCTCCTGAGTGCTTGGAATGAAGGTATGTGCCACCGTGCCCATTTATTTATTTATTTACTTATTTATTTGTTTACTTATTTATTTATTTATTGTCTTTTTGAGACAGGGTCTCCCTGTAGCCCCAGCTGTCCTGGAACTCACTATGTAGACCAGGCTGGCCTTAAATTCACAGAGATCTGCCTGCCTCTGCCTCCCAAGTGCTGGGACTACAGGCATGCACCACCACACCCAGTTTATTTATTTATTTTTAAATATTTATGTATATTTAGGTGTGGTGGTATATGTGTTTAATCCCAGCACTTGGGAAGCAGAGGCAGGTGGATCTCTGTGACTTCAAGCCCAGCCTAGTCTACATAGTGAGTGCCAGGCCAGTTGGGGCTACAGGGAGAACCTGTCTCAAAAACACCAAAAAAAAAAAAAAGTGTAAAGTGTGTGCCTTATTATATGTATGTGCAACCAGGTGCATGCAGAAGCCCAAGGAGGCCAGAAGAGGGCGTCAGATCCTATGGAACTGGAGTTACAGGCAGTTGAGAGCCACCATGGGGGTGCTGGAAAGCAAACCTGGGGTCCTCTGTAAGAGCAGCCAGCTTTTTTAACTGCTGAGCCCTCTCTCCAGTCCTCAATTTGCATATCTTAATGCCACAAACCTGGGAGAAGGCCTCTATTTTGCCTTCTCTGCACTTATGGGAATGGGAAATATTTTTTACTAGACTGTAAACTTGAATCGTCTTGCTTATGGGAGAGCACAGTAAAGATTGTGGGGCCAGGCATAGCAGCACATGCTGTTAGTCCCAGCATTTAGGAGGCAGAGATAGGAAGAGCTCTGAGTTCGTGGCCAGACTGGTTTACCTAGAGATTCAGGTCAGCTAGGATTACATAGTGAGACCCTGTCTCAAAAAACATAGTAGGGCCTGGAGTCAGCCACCAAGTTCAAATTCACACTCTTCCACTGACCAGCTTTGTGATATTGGGCAAGTTAATGAACCCTTAGTTTACTCTATGATATAGTGGCACTTAATTCATAAGGTTGTTGCAAAACATTTTTTTTTTATGTGTATGAGTGTTATGCTTGCATGTAAGCAAATGCACCCGTGTCATGTAATGCCCTCAGAGGACAGAAGAGGCTGTCAGATCTCCTGGAACTGGAGTTATGGACAGTTGTTGGCTGCCATGTGGGTGCTGGAATTTGAACCCAGTTCTTCTGCAAGAACAGTGTTCTTAACCACTGAGCCATCTCTCCAGCCCCGCAAAACGTTATTAAACATTTTTATTTATTTATCGTGTGTGTACTTGTACGTGTGTGAGTGCATGTGCCATGGCATGCATGTGGAGGTCAGAAGACAATCCACAGGAAACAGTTTTCTCCTTCCACCTGGGGACTGAGATCAGGTCATCAGGCTTGGTGGCAAGCTTGCTTTGTCCCCTTAACCCATTGGGCCATGTGGCCCGCAAAAACTTAGTTCCTTAGAATGTAGCACTACATAAGTGCTAATGATTTTAGTATCATTTGCCACCTAGTCTCAACATCTGGATCATGTGAGATGCTCCTTAAATATCAGCTCTGCAGCACCATCCATTTATTCAACCTTAATTACCTGTTTGCTTTTTAGTGGCACAGGTGTGGAGCTGTCTCCTAATTCAAGAGCCCCGCTCCCCATTTTTCTTTATGGCTTTATGATGAGGTTGGCATAAAGTTGGCGCACAGAAGACAATGGTACATAAGTTCCAGGAGCCCAGTAGAGACCAAGCATGCATTAGGAAATACATGCAATATGGGCGTCCAGGCCATAGAATACATCCATGGTATCCCGTAGGTCCCTGCTTCTCAGTGGACTAAGTGGGTCATGCACAAGACACTGCCTAACTTGGGAAGGAACCCAAATTTCCCCAAACAGTCCCTCCCACTCCTGTAGTGCAGCGTCAGCTCTATAAAGCTAGCATCCAGCTCCCGCAGCCCCCGCAAGCCCACTCACGATGGCAGGCAGGTCGGCGGGCCGCAGCTCCCCCTTGCGGAGCTCCAGAGCGCGCGCGGCTTCTTCTGGGCATGCGCAGAGCAACTCCATGTCCAGATCAGGAAGCTCGCTGTAGCCTTCGCGTGCGTGCTCGTACAGAAGGTTCCGGACTCGTTTCTCTGTAGCAAAACTCCTCCTTAGGTTCGGGTTGCACACGCAGCGTCCCCGGGATCGGAGTCCCTGTCGAGCCACCAAAGGCCAAAAGAGCCTCGCTATGGACGCAGCCATCTTGGACCGGAAACAATATGTCACTCAGCCTCTGTCCCGCCCACTCCACGGTTAGAGCAACTGCAAAGCAGCTGCTCTTCTAGGGACGAGCCAATCAGATGCAGGAAGGGATTTCCCGCTTAGGCTTTAGAAACAGTTCCAATGAGGAAAGTTGACGGAGATGGACTCTGTCCTTGCCCAATCATCGTCTTTGTTCCGTCCCTTTAGTGACGGATGACAGAACCAGCCAATCATTGATGAGAAAATCCCCGGAAGTGGCTGGAGGTAGGATTCAGCGTGTCTAGGACCCTGCGAGAGTGGGTGAGGTGGGTGGAATTTTATATCCTCCAAACCTTCCTTTCCGCTCTTCTTTGCCTCAGTTTCCCTTTTCTTCCTATGTGCAGGTGAGGGCGACTGGGTCCCCGGGAGCCTATTGAAAGTGAGCCTAAGTTTGCGGGGACACGTTGTATTAATCATATAAATAAGGATTATGGTTAGAGCTTTGGGGGCAATTCCAGAAGACTCTTGAGAGAGGGGCACCGGTTCCCTCCTCCTTTCTGAGTATCTTATCCCCTAACACAGGGACGCAGCGGGCGGCGAGATGTACTGGCCCAGCCTTCTCCGTGGCCTCAGCTCGTCCCTCAGTCGCGGTAAGTGAGCTTGGGCCGCAGGGACGAGGCTGGATGAGGCATTGACTCCCTGGGACGTGTGTACCTCTGCCACGGCTCGGATGCGATTAGGAACTTTAATCGGCTGGAAACACATTGCATTTTTTGTTTTGTAGACAGGGGCTCATGTAGCCCAGGCTGACCTTGAACTCATCTTGTAGGCTGGCCTTGAATTGATCCTTCCTGCCTCCATTTCCCAAATGCTGGGAATACAGGCTTTCTCCACCATGTCTCTTGGTCCGTGGTGCAAGAGGTGGGAAAGAGCTATGTCAAGTATAGCTTAAGATAATCATGGCCATGTCTTCCATACATAGGTCAAGGACTTGATAGATAATGGCAATCCAGGAGATTATTTGTCTAGTGACATTCTGTCATTGTTTCTGTCAGTCGTAGGACACTGATGTTTGTGCATAATCATACCAACAAATGTGCATTTCTTAGAGATGCTTAAGTATCTCGTGATTGTATTTATTCCTGTTTTTGAGACAGGGTCCTGTAGTCCTAGCTGACCTGGATGTAGACCCAGCTGGCCTTGATTTCACAGAGATCCACCCACCTCAGTCTTCCAAGTGCTAGGATGAAAAGGTGTGTGTGCCACCACGCCCAGCCCAGTTCAAGTAACTTTTCTTTTTAATTTTGGTCTTTTTGCGACAGGGTCTCCCAGTAGCCCCAGCTGGCCTGGAACTCGCTATGTAGACCACACTGGTCTCAAACTCAGAGATCGAGCTTTTTTTGGTGTCAGCCACTGAAGGGGAGTGTTGTTTATGGTGTCAACTTTGCCCGGGCATTAGGTGTTTCTCATGGGCTATGTCCTGAATGAGGTATGAGATATTTTGTTCCCCCAGGCTTTTAAAAAATTATTTAATTAAAATTTTTATTTTCTGTGTATGTTTTGCCTGCATGAATGTAAATGTACCATGTGCCTGCAATGCCCACAGAGGCCAGAAGAGGGTGCCTTATCCCCTAGAACTGGAGTTACTAGTTGTCAGCCACTATGTGGGTGCAGTAGCAGGAGAGCAGGGAGTGCTCTGAACTGCTGAGCCATCTCTTCAGCCTGTCTCTGATCTTACACCATTCATTTCATGAAGAAGTCCCATTGTTGTGCCTTGAATATATCTCTCCCCGGTACTTCCCCCTGCCTTCCTTGTACTATTCTGCAGCCACAGTGGTCTTTTTTTGTGTTGTTTTTTGGGGGTACCCAGGCTGGTGAAGTGTGAACAAGGGGCTGGTTGGGAGTAGAGGTCAGGGAAGTAATGGTAGGTGGGGTGGAGTCTTTCCTCAGGTGAGATGGAGCCAAGGGGCCTCTGAGCAGTGGAAGGATGGGTCCTGACTCTGGCTGTGTGTTTGAGGACAGGCTGGGGTCAGGGATTCCCTGTGAGGAGATGGTCCAAGAGACAAGGCTGGACCAATCTTAGGGTCTTAGTAAAAGAGGGAGAAAGGAGGTAGATTCTGCCCCATGTTGAAGGTTGAACTGACAGGTTGCTTGTGTGAAGGAACAACTGACAGGCTTGTTATGGGGATGGCTCTAATGTATGTACAGTAGTAGCTTAAAATATTCCTTTTGGGGGTGGTGGTGAGATGGCTCAGTGGTTAAAGATGCTTGCCACCAAGTCTGATGATCCAAGTTTGATCCCTGGAACTCACATGATGGAAGGAAACCTGACTTCTGCAAGTTGTTTTCTGATCTCTACATATGTACAGGTGCCTGCCCATCCACCCAAAAAACAAATCACACTTTGGTTTTGCAGGGCTGGCAGCTGAACCTAGGACATTGAATATGTTAGGCAAGGGCTCTGCCCCTGAGCTCCATCACCAGCTCAAGTATGTCATTTCAGGCCGAGGATGTATCTCAGAGTGGAGTGCTTGTCTGGCATGCATGAAGCCCTGGGCTCAATCCCCAGCACTGCATCAACTGGGCATGCTGGCTGTATTAGTCACTTCTGTTGCTGTGATAGGAACACTGACCCAAGCAATTTATAGAAAGAAGAGTTTATTTGAACTTACGGTTCCAGGGGAATTATACTCCATCACAGCAGGGGGGCATGGTGGCTAGAGCAGGAGCAGCAGAAGCTGATCTCTCACTTCCTCACACAGGCACAGGAAGCAAGAGTGACTAACGATCTGGCAAGGCTTAAGAACTCTCTAAGCCCACCCCAGTGATGTGCTTCCTGCAGGATAGCCACACCTTCTAAAACCTCCCCAAACAGTGCCATCATCTGGGGACAAAATGTCCAAACACTTGGAGCCTATGGGAGACATTTTCATTCAAACCACCACACTGGCACATGCCTGTAATCCCACTCTCCAGAGGTAGAGGCAGGAGGATCAGAAGTTCAAGGTCATCCTTGGCTATACAGCAAGTTCCAGGCCAACCTGGGCTATATGAGACCCTGTCTTAAAAAAAATAAAAAGAAACAAAACAAGAAAAAAGCATTGTTTCTAAACAGCATTCAAGTTAGTACCTATCTTTGAAGAATACATATGAATCAATTCATATAAAAGTTATTTCTTTGTGTTATGTGGTGTTTTGGGTTGCTTTTTTTTTTCTTTTTTTTTTTTTTGAGATAGGGTCTCACTATGTAGCCCTGGCTGACCATAGAAACATGGGTCGTTCTTGTGTCTCTCCAGGCCTGGCCGTTGTTCCCCAGCTCTGGGCCAGCCGCTCCATGGCTACCCTGAACCAGATGCACCGCCAGGGCCTCCGGAAGGAACCCCCTCGGCGTCTGGGCGCCACCGAGGGCCGGCCTCAGTTGAAGGGCGTGGTGCTGCGCACCTTTATCCGGAAACCCAAGAAGCCCAACTCGGCCAACCGCAAGTGCTGCCGCGTGCGCCTCAGCACAGGCCGAGAGGCCGTCTGCTTCATCCCTGGGGAGGGTCACACATTGCAGGAGCACCACGTGGTCCTCGTGGAGGGTGGCCGCACTCAGGACCTGCCTGGGGTCAAACTCAAAGTTGTGCGGGGCAAATACGACTGTGGCCATGTCCAGAAGAAGAAGTGACCGCCTTTCACAGTGGCTGGGCACCCGGTCCTCAGAAGCTGGCTCTTCCTGCTCCAGGGGCAGTGGGTCTTGGGTTCAGATTTCACTCCTAGTCATCAAGACTGCCACTGGCCCACAGGGGTTCTGAGAGGGGACTGAAAAGAAGCAGTCATGTGCCAACACCCTTGGCTTTTGTGTTCAGTGTTGGTGAGAGGAACCTCTTCTGTCAAGCAGGAATTGTATAATAAACACATCTGCAGGTTGTGATGTCTTTGGGGTTGTATGGTATTTGCCCCCTGCGTCTGGTGGCACATGCCATTCTCTGTGCCCCTGAGTTTTCTCTTCTGGAAAATAATTGCATTGGGGCTGGAGAGATGGTGGCTTAGCAGTTAAGATCTTGCTGCTCTTTCAGAGGAGCCAGGTCTGTTCCCAGCCCCCATGTCAGGCAGTGGCTCACAAGCCCCCAGCGCCAGATCTGACACCCTCTTCTGGTTTTCAAGGGAGCCTGCATGCGTTTGTACATACTCCCATACAGGCATATTTTCTTAAAAAGTTCCATTGGCAGAGTTGCGGGTTTAACTGAATATTAAACTACATGTTTGGTGGACGTGGTGGCGGGGGGGGGGGGGCTGCTGTGGGTTCTGTGTACCACCGAGGCCCTTCCTGGTGTCAAAAGGGCAGGTCCTGTGAAGCCTGGTCCCTAAGGTGGCCATCTGCAAAATGGCAGTAAGTGTAAGATTGGTACTGAAAGGATGTTAAATGGGTGGGGAATGGTGGTGCTTGCCCGTGATCCCAGCACTGTGACAGGAGGGTGGAGTGGTTAAGGCCAGCCTAGGCTGTGTAGACCCTTTCTCAGAAGACCCAAAAGGAGGAAAGGGGATATGTGGTTTGCTTTTTATTTAGGAGCTGTTTATTATTTTCTTTTGAGGTGTGATCTCACTCTAGCCCAAAGACTTGGAACTCTAGCCTAGGCTAGTCTCAAACTCATGTTGATCCCCTTACCTGAGTGTTGTTTCACTGTGCCTGGCTTGTGTTCTTAGATATTAGACTGCCACACCTGGGCTCAAATCCAGCCCCACCCCTTAATGGTCATGTGGCCTGGCTATAGTGGATCCACCTCTGGGCCTCAGTTTCCTTCCTGGACACTGGTGCTGACTGGAATCAGTTTCTCTGACCCTGGGCATGGCCACACATTTTAAGCTTGAGATGTGCTAACTCAGTTCAACTCCCCTTCAGGCCTCAAGCCTTGCATTCTCTGTTTACTGCCTGGGGACCCAGGGCAAGTCATTCAAATTAAGCCTGGACCACGTGGTATTGATAAGGAGCCATGGTAAGGCTGGATAAAGTGGCTCACACCTGTATCCCACTGTAAGGTGGAGGCAGAAGAATTAGGAGTTCAAGGTTAGCCATGGTGATATAACATTGGAGGCCAGCCTGGGGTACATAAGACCTTATCTTTAAAAAAAACTTGCTGGATGTGGTGACACACAACTTTAATCCCAGCATTGGGGAAGTAAAGGTAGGCCAATCTCTGCGTTCAAGGCCGGCATAGTCTACATAAGTTCCAGGCCAGCCAGGGCTACCCAGTAAGACCCTGACTCAAAAAACCAAAAAAAAAAGGGGGGGAGCTGGAGAGCCGAATTAGTGGTTAAGAGCACTGGCTGCGCTTGCAGAGGACCTGGGTTTCATTGTTCCCAGCCCCAACCTGGCAGCTAACAACCTTCTGTGACTCTAGTTCCAGGGATCTGACACCTGGCCTCCACAGGCATTTTATACCACGGGTGTACTTACATGCACGCTAAACACTAATACACATTAAAATAATGTTCTTAAAGCCATTAGAGGCCCCTTAAGAGCTAGTCTGGAGGGGCTGGAAAGCCGACTCAGTGGTTAAGAGCTCTTGCAGAGGACCTAGGTTTGATTCCCAGCACACAAATGGTAACTCATAACTATCTGTAACTCCAATTCTAGGGGATCCAGCACTCTATTCTGACCTCCATAGGCATTGCACGACATGGGTGTACTTACATACATGCAGGTAATACACTCATACACATAAAAAATAAGAAAAATATATAAACTAGTGTTGGGGTCCTCTGTTATGCAAGTAGAAGTCTCTTCACGTCCGGATAGCTCACGAGCTCGGAAACCATGTGCTGCAGATTCCTTTCATAGCAGAGTGCCTTCCTGGCATCCTCCCTGACTCTTCTTTTAAAGTGCTCGCCACAAATACATGCCCTCCGGCACAGGAGCTACCAGGTTTTAATCAGG